AGCATGCCCCCTCTTCCCCAATCCCCCCGGTCCTTTACCCTCTTCCATAATTTATTAAAAAAATTTTCCCCAAAACCCCTCCAAAATAAATCCCCACCTTTCCCTTTTTAAAATTTTTTATCTTTTTTTCCCTTTAATCCCCGGGTGCTTTCCCCCCTTTTATTTTGCCTACTGCCTCAGAAAACCCCCCCCACACTCACAAAAGGCTCTTCCTCACTCCTAAAAAGAGTTATTCCCCCTTGCCCTATACACGAAAACACAGCTTCCCCATCTTCCTCAAAAATTTAAAAATTTTTCAAAATAAACCCCCCTCTTCCCCAAAACCTCTAACTCTCCCTTTAATTTAAATTTCCTCTCCCTTTTTTTTAAATGACAAACCCTTTTTTTTTTCTAAACTTTCTTAACTTTTTCAACTAAAAAAAAAACCTTTTTCTTATTTTTAACAAAATTTGTTGATAACAACTCACCCATCTCTATTTGGGGTCTCTTTTTTACATTGCCCTTACCACTCTCTTAAAACCCCTCTCCTTTTTTCCATATACCCCTTCCCCCCTTGCATCACTTTACTTTTTTAAAAACTTCTATATGCTAACTTTTTCCCTTAAATACTCTCTTTTTCTTTATTATTCCAAACCCAAACGCCTTTCCCCTTTCCCCCCCTGCACCCCCTTTCCTGTAACCACAAATTTCTGCTGAACACTTAACCTCATTTTTAAAACCTTTTCCCCATACCTCTTCGACCCCCCTTTCCAGCTCCCCTTTGGGCCCCTCTATCCTCCAATACTTTTATATTCTTTCCCTAACTGCCTCCCCCCTTTTAGTTTATAAAACCCTTTATTCTCTTCCCCCGATGTTCTATTTTCCTTGGGGGCCCCTTACCTTTTATTCAGTGGGAGCTACAACTAGAAATGATCCCGATATTTCGGGCCCCCCTATAACATGTACACCCCGAAGTTACTCAGCAGTTTTTATCCCACCAATACATAATCCCAAAAAAACTACTGGCTTTTTGCCCTAAAATTCCCTATCTTGGATCTTATTTAACCCCCCTTTTTTTAAAATATTATTAAATATAAAATAAACCCCTTTTTTACACAAAAATTTAATCAAAAGGGTTCCCCTTATTTATTTACACCTGGCACCCCCAAAAAAACCTACCAACCCCCCTTAAAAGTTTCTCCCCACTTTGCATTCAGGGGCCCCTACCACCCAAATTTCTCTCTCACTTGGTTAAAGCTCCTATAAAATTCACTTTTAAAATCTCCCAAAACTCTCTCTCTTTCCCCTGCATTCCTCTTTTTCCGGTTTTCATACAAAGCTTATTTTTGACCCCCTTCCCCGCATCCAACCCCTTTTCTTTTAATTTTCCCCATTTAAATTTTTGAAATTTTAAAAATTTCATTTCTCCTTTTTTCCTTCCATAACTGATCATTTAACATTAAAGCTACCCCCTTTCCCTTTTCTCTAACTCTCCCCAGATACTCCAGATTTAATCCCATTTATTTTCCCCCCCCAAATTTAAAATCTCCTACCCCCCCCTTTTAGCTTTGTTTTTTCCCTTTGAGCCCGGGGCATCCAAAATTTTTTTCATTTTATAACATTTGCAATCATCTGTTTCTTGTCATCCCCCCCTACATTTCCCCGCACATTTAAGCAAAACCCCGTTTTATAAAAATTTTTTTTTCTTCTCTTTTTTAGTAAAAGATTCAGGAGAAGGGGTTACTAGCCCATTGCTCCCGGCATTTTTTGTCGCCCCATACGACACCCTGGCTTTTGGGGGAAAAATTCTTTTTCCCCTTTTCCCCCTGACAATAGAAGAAATAAAAAAGGGCAAGAGTATTTAGAAAAAGGGGGGAAAAACCTAGATGTATGGATATATTTTATTTCATGTGCGTGTCTGTGAAATTTCCAAAATGTAAGTAGGAGTAACAAGATTCCCCGTTTTTCTAGCGTGGTTTTTTTGAGACAGAAAAAAAAAACCGCAAAAACCTAAACCCTATGCAAAAAGTTACAGGTTTTTGTTTCACCCTTTATTGGCAGGACGGGGAGTATTCCCCGGGGGGGTTGCTTTTTCCCACCCAAACCCACTACCTTTAATACCTTTACTACACATACATGTCAAGCATATATATATATAAAACACACCCCTCTGGGTTTTTTTCCCTAATTTTTTTTATTTTTTTGTTTTTGTTTATTTCCTCTCCCCTCTTTCCCTGGGAAATGGAAAGAAAATTTTTCCCCCGTAAGCCTGCTGGTTTTTAAGGGGACTAAAATGCCGGGGGCAAGGGGCTTTGTAACCTTTCCTTGTAAAATACAAATTAAAAGGAAAACTTTCGTTTTTTTTTTTGGGCCCCCCCGCCTCGGTGGGATACCGGGCCCGGTGTGTTGAAAGGGAAAAAAAAAGCAGGAAAAAAAACAACCCGAAAAAAATTTTTAAGCAACTTAATGTAAACTTGGTGATATTTACCTCTAGCAGTTTTTCTGAAAAAGGGTTTTTTTTTTCAGTTCCCCATTTTCTTTTTTTTTCTATCATTTAAAAAAGTTTTTTTTTTTTTTAAAATTTAGCATTGAAATTTTACATGATTTCCTTAATCTTCTTAATTATTTAAAAAGCCCTTTTTCCTAACCCCTTTTTCTTCCTACGTTTTTTTTTTTGTGGGGTCTGAAAATTTGAACAAAAATCACGTGGGGAGGGAATTTTTCATTTTGAAAGTGAACCAAATAAGATTGTAATAATCTTTCCAAATTTTGACAAAATGGGTCAAGGGAAAAAAACATCCATTATGTCTGAGAAGCTGTAATGATACCCCTTTGCATTCACAACAGCAGCACTAACAATTGGAAATTTTTTACCTAAATAGACAATAAAGTGAAGAAAATAAAATTCTGCTCCCGTAAGTCCTGCTTTCTGTACATAGATTAAATGATATTTTCTTCATCATAAAAACTTTGAAAATAAAAAAATTTTTAAAAAAGAGGATAATTTATTGAAGAAGTTAGTTGGGAAAAACATTTCCCCATAAATTTAATTATTAATTAGGTTCTAATATATGAAGTTCATTAATTCAGTTTTATTCCCTTTTTTTTTAATTAAATAGGGATTTGTAAATAAACTCTAAGCAAGAGGGCCCACTATTTTCTCTCCAAAAAAAAGCAGGGGCCCTTACTTAACAAGAGGGAGCCCCTTTGAAAAGTGAAAATATAACAAATTTTTGGAAAAAATAGCTTTCCCTGACTCCATAAAAATTTAAAGTTAACTTTAATTTCCCCTTCCCCAACCACAGTCTACCATTTAAGTTTTGTGCTTACGCATGAAAATTGAGATACTATTTTCATTTTTTTGCCCACCCCGCCCTCTCCCAAACCCGGTAGGGTACTAAAAGAACCCCTTTCCCATCACCCACTCTAAACAATGTCTTGCCAAGAAAATGCTGACATTTCAGCCAAGTCCCTCCAAACTGCCCAAAAATCCCCACCATTCCCTTTTGACTGCTGGCATTTATTTCTCACCTCTATTTCTAAAATCCAGCTAAATAGTTTTTCTGTTTCCCTTTATAAACATTTTCCTTGCTCCACTCCTAAAGCTCTTTTTAAATTATAAAAACCCCTTGCCCCTTTCCCCGAGCCTCTTGCAATGCAAAACCCTTCAAATTTTTAAAAAATTTTAAAGTCCCTTTAAAAAAAAAAAAAAAAAAAAAATAAAAAAAAAAAAAAAAAAAAAAAAAAAAAAAAAAAAAAATACTTTTTCCCTTTCCCTTTTCCCCACCCCCTAAAATGTTTTTGCAAACCCAAAAAAAAAAAAAAAAAAAAAAAAAAATAATCCTTTTACCCTTTTTTTTATTTTACTATAAACTCCAATTTTTGGAAAATTGTCTAAAATTTTTTTTTTTTTTTTTCAACAAGTCGGCCGTCTCCCACCGAGGCAGGGTGACCCAAAAAGAAAGAAAATCCCCAAAAAGAAAATACTTTCATCATCATTCAACACTTTCACCTCACTCATACATAATCACTGTTTCTGCAGAGGCACCCAGATACAACAGTTTAAAAGCATATATAGATATATAACATATCCCTCCAAACTGCCAATATCCTAAACCCCTCCTTTAAAGTACAGGCATTGTACTTCCCATTTCCAGTACAAGTCCAGCTATATAAAAATAACCAGTTTCCCTGAATCCCTTCAATAAATATTACCCTGCTCACACTCCAACAGCTCATCAGGTCCCAAAAACCATTCGTCTCCATTCACTCTTATCTAACACGCTAATGCACGCTCGCTGGAAGTCCAAGCCCCTCACCTATAAAACCTCCTTTACCCCCTCCCTCCAACCTTTTCGAGGACGACCCCTACCCTGCCTTCCTTCCCCTACAGATTTATACGCTCCACATGTCATTCTACTGTGATCCATTCTCTCTAAATGACCAAACCACCTCAACAACTCCTCTTCAGCCCTCTGACTAATACTTTTATTAATTTCACACCTTCTCCTAATTTCCACACTCCAAATTTTCTGCATAATATTTACACCACACATTGCCCTTAGACAGGACATCTCCACTGCCTTCAACCGCTTCCTCGCTGCAGCATTTACAACCCAAGCTTCACACCCATATAAGAGAGTTGGTACCACTATACTTTCATACATCCTTTCATTGCCTCCATAGATAACTTCTTTGTCTCCACATGTAACTCAATGCACCACTCACCTTTTTTCCTTCATCAATTCTATGGTTAACCTCATCTTTCATAAACCCAAATGCTCTCCTTAATTCTTTGCCTGTGTTTACCTTACTGCTAGACAATCCATCAAGAAATTACAGTTCAAATGATAACAAATATGTACTTACAAGACACAGATTAAATATCAGTATAATATTTTCTTTAAACTTAAACCATACTAAAAATAACAAATGTATAATAGAAATACTGTCAATTGTCTGACAATTGTCCCTCCAATTACAAGCATTCCCAGGCCTCCTAAGATGAAAATTGCACATACCTTCACATTGTGTTCACTTTCCTCTTCAATACCTGAGAATTCTGCAGTATCCTTAGTCAATGGTGTCTTCTTGATGAGTGTTTTCATTGACATTCCACCCAAGGGGTTGTCAGATGATAATTCATTATTATCATCCTCATTATTGCTGCCACCATTCTTAACCTTGGAATCCATATTTAAAGTGTCAAAAAACAGAGTTTTAGGTACTATTTCCTTTGGTGTAAAAATGGTTATAGTTGACCCTGACGAGTTAGTTGTAAACGTCTTAGTAATAGTCGAACTAAATGTTTCTTTAAATGCCATTCCAACTCCACTCAGTAATTCTTGGCTTGTATTTGCCATATGACCTGCAGAAACAAATAGAAAATATGATTATTATTTTAAGTCTGTACTACCTCCTTGTAAGTAGTTAAGTGTCTTGTAGAACAGTGTGAACATAAAATCTAATGAATGGAACATCAGTAAGCATAAGAAATATGCTTTCTCTGTACTATATTAGCTGTTCATCCTACCTTATAAGAAGATGGCCGACATGTTAAAAAAATTAAAATAAAAACTCTGAAATCAACATAACAAAATTGTCTGATTTTCTTCGTGACAACCAGACTGTGAGAGTAGCATTTTTGTCTCAGGTTCAGCAGACAGAGGAGCAAGGATGAATCTTTTATGGGATCACCTTTACAAAAAAGACCAGAGTCAGTGAGTAAAGACAGTTAACTCTAAAAAGAATACCCACAAGCTGGAATATAAAGTCTGACACTAATTTTGTCAATTGAACTTGAGCTTGGTGATAGTTACCCTTAATAGCTTTTTCTGGAAGAATCCTTGTCGATATCATGTCATACCTTCTTTTAGCTCCATGTTTTATTTTATTTGCATCATTCTTTTGCTTAATTTCAGCAACAAATTCTAACGATTTCCTTAATCTTGGTAAGTTACGAAAAGCTTTTTTCTTAACCAATGATTTCTTCCCATAGTTTTTTCTGGGCTTCTGAAATTAGAAACAAAATGTGAACACTCTAGAATATATAAATTTTTTAAGATAAAATGATTTGGAACACATCCACTAATTGTAAGAAGTACCACAGTGGTAAGTGCTCCTGCATTTTCCTAACAATTAAACAATATATGATAAGACTAAAATTCCACTGTTAACATGTTTATGTACTGTACATAGATTAAATGCTAAGGTGTTGTGGAGAGGTGTAGGATGAAAATATGCAGAATCTAATACAAAATGGGAGCCATCACAGTTGCTTTTTGCTGATGACACAGTCCTTTTGGGATTGTCTGAAAAAAAAGTTGCAACGGTTGATGGATGAATTTGGGAGGGTACGTAAAGAAAGAAATCGAAAGTGAACATAGGAAAGAACAAGGTGATGAGGGTAACAAACGATTTAGGTAATGAAAGAATGGATATCACATTAAAAGGAGGGAGTATGAAGGAATTGAATGTGTTCAAAAATTTGGAGTGGACTTGTCAATGGATGGGTCTATGAAAGATGAGGTCAACCACAGAATTGATGAGAGAAAAAGGGTGGCAAGTAGGGAAATGTATAAGAGTATAGAGGCACTAACACTTGCATGGGTGTGAAGCATGGGTTATGAAGCTGGAGGCAGTGGAGATGTCATTTCTGAGGGCAATTTGTAGCTTGGAGATTGGGAGGAGGTGCAGGGTTACTAAAAGTATTATACAGAGGGCTGAGGAGGGTTTGTGGTGGTAGTTTGGACATATAGAGAGAATGGAGCAAACCAGGATGACTTAGAGGATGTATAAATCTATAGTGGAAGGAAGGCAGGGTAGAGGTTGCCTTAAGAATGGCTGGAGGGATGGGGTAAAGGTGGTTTGGTGTGAGAGGGGCTTGGACATGCAGCAGACATGTGTAAGCACATCAGATAAAAGTGAGAGGAGGCAAATGGTTTTTGAGTTTTGATGAGCTGTTGGAGTGTGAACAAGGTAACATTATGTAAAGGAATTCAGGGAAACCAGTTACCCAGACTTGAGTCCATGTGGTGGGAAGTACAGTGCCTACACTACGAAGGCAATGTGGGGATATCTGCAGTTTGGAAAGGCACCTGAACTGTAGTATCGGCACACCTCTGGCAAGATAGTGATAGAGTGAACAATGGTGAAAGTGTTTCTTTTTCTTCGGGTCACCCCACCTTGGTGGGAGACTGCTGGTATGTTAAGAGAAAATTATTTTAAAAATTTGAATATAATAAATGAATGATAGAAGGTAAACTATTAGAGAAGGAAGAATAATTACTCCATAAACCAATGATGAATCAGGTTCTATTAAATGAAGCTCTGTGATTATGCTCCTTCCTATTTATTTATTTATTTACAAAGAGCATAAATCAATATAATCTGTTCAAGAGATCTACAATTTTCTCTCCCATTAAAAGTTTCCTCAGTCTACTTAAGATAGTAACAATCAGAAGATCTTTAGCTAATATTATTATTACAGTGAGACCCCATATCCATGGGGACTAAGTTCCAAGGACTGAAACTGCAGCTAGTAGCGAACCCGATATATAAGTCATTTTTCATTTACATACATATCTTTTAAAATGTTTAATTGTTAAATTATGCACAATATGTGGAGAATTATCACTTTTTTCACTGATGGGAAGCATTTCATGGCTTCTCTTAGACTTTGAAGAACTTGCATCACTACTTTTGCACTTTGAGGCCATTATTAAGCAAAATTAAGGGTTATTTTCTGTCCACGGCAAACCGCGGATAAATGAAATCACGGATACAGGACCCATGGATATGGGAATCACACTGTATTATATTTTTTTTCTTAAACACACAGTTGGTCTCCCACTGAGGCACGGTGACCAGAAAAAAAAAAAAAAGTTTTACTTCTTTTAATTTATTATTAGAGTTATGGATGAGCATTCAGCTTTCTTGAGTCAAAAATTGCCTGGAAAAATGTGAGGCATTTAGGTTTAATATAGGGAAAGGAAGGGTAGGTCCAATTCCTTGGATCAAGAGTTCCTTGCTGACATCAAAAAAAAGTCCCTCGAGGAAAAAGGTGTATCTAGAGAAGTCAAGCATTATAAAATATTTTATTGCGAGGAGCTTAGGAAAGCAATGTAAGAATATTGTACTGTATTATGGTACATACCTTCACTTCAGGGTCTATAATGTCCTGACTACCCTCTTCAGTACCAGAGAAGTCAGCAGTATCCTTCATCAATAATGTCTTGCTGATGAGTGTCTTCCCTGACACTCCACCCAAGGGATCATCAGTTAATAATTCATCATCATCATCTTCATTATAGTTACTACCATTCTTGTTCTTGGAATCTAGACATAAGACACTGACAAAGACAGGCTTAAGAGGCACTATGCTCTCTTCTGAAATCATTTTATTCAGATATGATGGGCTGGTTGTGAATGTCTTACTTATGGAAGCATCCCCTGATTTATGAATTTTATTCTGAGCCCTTCTAAATAATTTTTTCCCAGTGTTTCTCTCATGACCTGCAGAAACAAAAGGGAAATCTGATTATAATCTTAAGTCTTATATTACCTCCTTTTAATTACAGGTAGGCCATCACTGATCCGGCAAATCACTAATCCATTTCCATCACTAATCCAGCACTAATTTCAGCTAGTGTAATTTCAAATTTAGCTGTTGGGTATAGTCTACTCTAACCTAACCACTCTATGATCCGGCAAAAATCACCAATCCAGCACCCTACAAATCACAACGATGTCGGATTAGCGATGGTCAACCTGTAGTAGCATGTATACTCAGTGTTCAATGTATAAGGTACACCTGTATACCTGCTCATTAATGTAAATACCTAGCAGGCAATCATGTAGCATCACTTCAGTACCTAAAAGCATGCAGACATGGTCAAGAGGTTCAGTTGTTGTTCAGACCAAGTATCAGAATAAGCAAGAAATGTGATCTAAGTGACTTTGAACGTAGAACGACTGTTGGTGCCAGATGCGATGGTTTGAGTATCTCAGAAACTTCTGATCCCCCTGAGATTTTTAAGCACAACAATCCATAAAGTTTACCAAGAACTGAAAAACACAAAACATCCACAAAGAAGCAGTTCTGTGGGCAAAAAGTCTGAAGAGGAGAATGGCCAGATTGGTTCAAGCTGACAGGAAGGCAACAGTAACTCAAATAACCAGGCATCACAAAAATGAACTCATATTACTGTGTACTATATATATAGAACATTAAACTTCAATATAAACCCTCCTCTCAAACCTCTCCTTGATAGCTACAATAAAACACACAGGCACAAAGCTCCCTTTGAGATCCCTTGTGTCCATCTCACCCTATGCAAAAATGCAATGCACAGAAAGAGCACTAAGATCTGGAATTCACTGCCCAAACCTGCCTGCCTATCAACGTAGGGCTGTTGGAGAGTGAGAAGGTAAAATTTTGTGAAGTGATTTAGGGAAACTGGTTATCTGGACTTGAGTCCAGGATATGGGAAGTACAATGCCTGCACTTAAAAGGAGGGGTCTGGGATATTAGCTTTTTGGAGTGACATCTAAGCTGTAGTATCTGAGCACCTATGCAAAGACAGTACTCACCTAGTTATGGTTGCAGGGGTCGAGTCATAGCTCCTGACCCCGCCTCTTCACTGGCCGCTACTGGGTCACTCTCCCTGCACCATGTGCTTTATCATACCTCAGTGATTATGTATGAATGATGGTGAAAGTGTTGAACGATAATGACAGTTTTTTTTTTTTTTTTTTTGATCACCCTACCTTGGTGGGAAATGGATGATGTGTTTAAAACAAAACAAAAAAAAAAATTAAATAAAAATCATCTCATCTCCCAAACTTTACAATTTTTTTTTTTTTCAACAAGTCGGCCGTCTCCCACCGAGGCAGGGTGACCCAAAAAAGAAAGAAAATCCCCAAAAAGAAAATGCTTTCATCATCATTCAACACTTTCACCACACTCACACATTATCACTGTTTTTGCAGAGGCGCTCAGAATACAACAGTTTAGAAGCATATACGTATAAAGATACACAACATATCCCTCCAAACTGCCAATATCCCAAACCCTCCTTTAAAGTGCAGGCATTGTACTTCCCATTTCCAGGACTCAAGTCCAACTATATGAAAATAACCGGTTTCCCTGAATCCCTTCACTAAATATTACCCTGCTCACACTCCAACAGGTCGTCAAGTCCCAAGTGCCATTCGTCTCCATTCACTCCTATCTAACATGCTCACGCACGCTTGCTGGAAGTCCAAGCCCCTTGCCCACAAAACCTCCTTTACCCCCTCTCTCCAACCCTTTCGAGGACGACCCCTACCTCGCCTTCCTTCCCCTATAGATTTATATGCTTTCCATGTCATTCTACTTTGATCTTAACAATACCAACACTATATTATGCCTGAAATCATTCAACCAGTTTGAAACTACTGAAGATATCCAAATTAACTCAAGACCAATAAATTAATCTAAAATATTAATACACACGTAAAATTGTACTGTTGTAATATTGTAAATTGTACTAACTGTAATACTTTTATTAGTTTTTTCTACCTCTCTACTATAAATCTTACTAATTATAAATTTTTTGTCTACCACTCTTTTAAAATAATATAAAATAACGAATAATTAAAATTTAGAATTTCATAACCTATGCCTAGTTTTAAGTAGTCTGTAAGGATTAATAATAAGAAGTTTATTTCAGCATGATACATGTTTGTACAAAGGAGTATAACAACTGGGTGTACATGCCAAAAGTTCCTTTATATGCAGAGCATTTTGGGCAAACTTAAGACTAACTTAAGATTAATAAGGAAATAACAGTGCAGTAATTTTGTACAGTTGGTCATTAGGTGCTTAAGCATGCTGGTGGCTTTATTTGTGCTTAACAATATTTTTATAACATGTAAATCACACATTGTATACCATGCAAAGAAATAAAAATTTGAATTTGGTATACAGAAAAGCATCTCTGAACACACAACATGTTGAATCTTGAAGTGGATCTGCTATAGCATCAGAACACACCAGGTTCCACTCCTATCAACTAAGAGCTGGACCAGTGGCTAACGGACGGTCTGGAGTTTTGTGACTCTGATCACTAGTTCTAACCCTACCCATGGTATGGTTTGTTTGCAATCTTTTGTGAGTCATATTATAGCGGAGTTTGAACAGAAAATCTAATGTATTGAACATCAGTGTGCATAAGATGGGAACTTTCATAATACAATATAACACACATTGATTTAAAGGATTTTTGTAAATATTAGACAAAAACCATTGGGACAACTGATTTGGAAACAACAAAGTTCATTGTTTACAGAAATGTTCATTACTGTGACAATCATGGCAAATCAATCTCATCTTTATTTATCACAACTGCCATTACCAGTCACCTTCTTCCTTCTATTCAATCACAGAACTGATGAGACCCAAACCCATGGCAGGAGAGTCTTAAATCTCATCTGTTATGGGTTTGAGACCCAAGTTTCGTGATTTGTGAGCAGTTGTGTTATGATTTTGAGAGTCCCCTCTATTAATTTGTTAAACTGAAAATTTACCATACTGTATTAGTTACTGTATCAGGATAAGGTTGAACAGACTGCAAAGAACATAACAAGAGACAGGAAAACATTGTGAAAATGTTTAGTTTTTGTAGACACACAATACAAGGAAAACTGGACAATCAATATCAGAAAATCTCCTGATTTTCTATGTGACAGCCTGAATGTGGGACCAGCATTTCTGTCTAAAGTTTAGCGAAGAAAGAAGTGAGAGATCGAATCATTTGTTGGTGTATAAACAATGCAAACAAAGCTGGAATAAAATATCTGATAACATTCTAAGTCAACTTAACATAAACTTAGTGATAGTTACGTTTAATAACTTTCTCAGTTTCATATTTTCTTTTATTTGTATCACTTATAAATTCACTCTTTCGTTTAATGTGAGCAGTGAATTCACCCAGTTTCCTTAATCTCGGTGAGTTACGAATAGCTTGTTTGTTGACCAATTTCTTCCTATACCTTCCTCGGAGAATCTGAAATTACAAACAAAAAGCACTGTGGTAATGTAATTTGTTTTATAAATGCCAATGATTTAGAACAGTAGTACTAAACCCTTTTACGATTACAGACCTCTATTGGATTGCATGCCCCATACTTCTCACCAAAACTCTTCATCCACTGTCCAATTATCATCATCATCATTACCATTTTCAATATCATCTATTAGATGACCAGTTTGTTAAAAGATGTTGATATACTTGGTTTTTTTACTTTACATATATGGACTGCAACAGACTTGATGATAGTTTTTCTAAGCTAACAACTTTTTTTTTTAAATATCAAAGATTGAGTCGAACCAATCAAGTTATTTGTTCATCGTCCCTACCAAGGGATGGATTACCCAGTTAAGAACCCATTGCTTTAGAGGAAATAATCTTTTCAATTAAGAAAAAATTAAAGAATCCATCTATAAGTTCCACAATGATGTCTTCGTATTTTTGCTTACAGAAGTTAACAAAGTTTTGTTACCTTAACCAATTGGGCTATAACAGCAACCAAATTCCACTGCTAACACATGTCTAGAACCATACATTAGATTGAATGCAATTTTAATAGTATTATTTTCCTTTCTTTTTGAGTCACTCTGCCTTGTGTGGACAGCCAACTTGTTAAAAAAAAAAAATTTTTTTACTTAAAAATTGAAAATAGTAAAATGAATTATGAAAAAATGTCTTGAGAATGGAGGGGAGCAAATTCCATAAACTAATGATGTATTTGAGGTTCTTGCTGAATGAGGTTCTCATGCTTGTGGCGATAGGTTCGCTGAATGAGTTCTGATGAAAAATTTTGAACTTAAATTTTGAATAGTGATGAATGAGTAATGTTTGGAGGAGGTGGGGAGCAAAAATTCCTATAAACCAATGATGAATGAGGTTCTGCTGAATGAGGTTCTGCTGAATGAGGTTCTGCTGAATGAGGTTCTTTGACTAGGTTCATTCCTATCATTTTATTTATTTAAATTAGAGCTTAAGTACATTTGATCTAGGCAGATCTAAAATTCTCTCTCCAGCGAGAAACATTTCCAGTCTACTTAAGATAGTGAAATTAACAAGATCTTCATTTATTATTATTGCATTTATTCAAAATTTAAAATTTTGATTTCTTTGTAAGGTTTACTATGTGTTGAATTACATATTACAAAATATGAAGCACAAAGAAAGGCACTAGCATGCCTAGGCATCTGAGGCAGACTAATCCTAATTCTTACTGACACAGGTTATGGAGTGCTACATTCTAATGTTTGTTATTTCACAATATTACAAGAGTTAGGTAATCAAAAATTTTATAATTAATAAGATTTATAACAGTGAGGTAGAAAAAACAAATAATAGCATTACAATTAGTGTAATGTAGTAATGGGAACAGCTTTATCTCGGTATGCTACAATGTTATTACGCTGTCGAAAGCCCTTATCTAAACAGAGCATTACAGGGGAGAATTAAACCTGTTTGGGTCATAGTGCTTGGGAGAAAGAGAAGCATTCAGGATTAATCCAAGGAAGGAAAAGACAGGTCCATTTCCTTGGAACAAGAACCTCTCATTTGCATCACAGAACTTTACTTGTGGGAAGAGCTATATCTAGAGAAGTCAAACACTATAACAAATGCTTTACTTAAAGGAGCTCACCTGAGCATTGTTCTCTTGTAATAATCTTCTTCAAAAGAATAAAAAGGTACACTACCATGATATTAACTAGTTAATGGTCCAAGTCGAACCAAAACGTGCAGGTTATCTGTGTAGTCTTCAACTCCCCATATACAGTGGACCCCCGGTTTACGATATTTTTTCATTCCAGAAGTATATTCAGGTGCCAGTACTGACCGAATTTATTCCCATAAGGAATATTGTGAAGTAGATTAGTCCATTTCAGACCCCCAAACATACACGTACAAATGCACTTACGTAAATACACTTACATAATTGGTCGCATTGGGAGGTGATCGTTAAGCAGGGGTCCACTGTATTTCTTAATCTGAAGACAACTTTATTAAGGCACATACCTTTGTTAGAAGGTCAGGAATGTCAGGACTATCATCTTCAAAACCAGAGAAATCAGCAGCTTCATTAATCGATGATGTGTTGCTAAAAAGTGTCTTCCCTGACACTCCTACCAAGGGATCATCAGCTGATAATTCATCATCATTAACTCTGGTACCATTCTCATTCTTTGGATCCAGACATAAGACATTGACAAAGACAGGCTTATGAGGAAGAACACTCTGTGCTGGAATAATTTTCTTTAACCCTGATGGGTTGGCTTTAAATGTCTCAGTTATGGAAGCATCGCTTGATTTATTAATTTCCTTTCTAACGCCTCTCAATAATTTTTTGCCTGTGTTTTCCTCATGATCTGCAGAAACAAAAGGGAAATCTGATTATAATCTTAAATCTTATACTATCTCCTTGTAAGTTGTGTGAATAGTCCAGTGGAATTTGAGCATAAAATCTAATGTACACAACATCAGTATGCATAAGAAGTGACACTTTCACAGAACAGTGAACCCTCAATTTAATGAACTTTGATGAATAAAACACGTGCAACACTCAAGTATCTTTATTACCAAAATATTTACGTCAGTAATTCTTATTTTTTATTTATTTTTTTTTATTATCACACCGGCCGATTCCCACCAAGGCAGGGTGGCCCGAAAAAGAAAAACTTTCACCATCATTCACTCCATCACTGTCTTGCCAGAAGGGTGCTTTACACTACAGTTTTTAAACTGCAACATTAACACCCCTCCTTCAGAGTGCAGGCACTGTACTTCCCATCTCCAGGACTCAAGTCCGGCCTGCCGGTTTCCCTGAATCCCTTCATAAATGTTACTTTGCTCACACTCCAACAGCACGTCAAGTATTAAAAACCATTTGTCTCCATTCACTCCTATCAAACACGCTCAGCATGCCTGCTGGAAGTCCAAGCCCCTCGCACACAAAACCTCCTTTACCCCCCCCTCCAACCCTTCCTAGGCCGACCCCTACCCCGCCTTCCTTCCACTACAGACTGATACACTTTTGAAGTCATTCTGTTTCGCTCCATTCTCTCTACATGTCCGAACCACCTCAACAACCCTTCCTCAGCCCTCGGGACAACAGTTTTGGTAATCCCGCACCTCCTCCTAACTTCCAAACTACGAATTCTCTGCATTATATTCACACCACACATTGCCCTCAGACTTTGACATCTCCACTGCCTCCAGCCTTCTCCTCGCAACATTCATCACCCACGCTTCACCCATAAAGAGCTTTTGGTAAAACTATACTCTCATCCCATTCCCCTCTTTGCCTCCAAGGACAAGTTCTTTGTCTCCACAGACTCCTAAGTGCACCACTCACCTTTTTCCTCATCATTCTATGATTCACCTCATCTTTCATAGACCCATCCCCTGACACGTCCACTCCCAAATATCTAATACGTTCACCTCCTCCATACTCTCTTCCTCCAATCTGATATTCAATCTTTCATCACCTAATCTTTTTGTTATCCTCATAACCTTACTCTTTCCCGTATTCACCTTTAATTTTCTTCTTTTGCAACCCTACCAAATTCATCCACCAATCTCTGCAATTCTCTTCCCGAATCTCCAAGAGCACAGTGTCATCAGCAAAGAGCAGCTGTGACAACTCCCACTTTGTGTGTGATTCTTTATCTTTTAACTCCACGCCTCTTGCCAAGACCCTCGCATTTTCTTCTCTTACAAACCCCATCTATAAATATATTAAACAACCCACGGGGACATCACACACCTTGTCTAAGGCCTACTTTTACTGGGGAAAAAATTTCCCTCTTTCCTACATACTCTAACTTGAGCCTCACTATCCTCGTAAAAAAATCTTCACTGCTTTCAGTAACCTACCTCCTACACCATACACTTGCAACATCTGCCACATTGCCCCCCTATCCACCCTGTCATACGCCTTTTCCAAATCATAAATGCCACAAAGACCCTTTAGCCTTATCTAAATACTGTTCATTATATATTTCACTGTAAACACCTGGTCCACACACCCCCCCTTTCCTAAAGCCTCCTTGTTCATCTGCTATCCTATTCTCCGTCTTACTCTTAATTCTTTCAATTATAACTCTACCATACACTTTACCAGGTACACTCAACAGACTTATCCCCCTATAATTTTTGCACTCTCTTTTATCCCCTTTGCCTTTATACAAAGGAACTATGCATGCTCTCTGCCAATCCTAGGTACCTTACCCTCTTCCATACATTTATTAAACAATTGCACCAACCACTCCAAAACTATATCCCCACCTGCTTTTTAACATTTCTATCTTTATCCCATCAATCCGCTGCCTTACCCCCTTTCATTTTACCCACTGCCTCACGAAAATTCCCCCACACTCACAACTGCTCTTCTCACTTTCCCACAAGATGTTATTTCCCCCTTGCCCTATACACGAAATCACAGCTTCCCTATCTTCATCAACCCTTTTAAAAATTCCTCAAAATATTCCTTCCATCTTCCCAATACCCCTAACTCTCCATTTTAAAAACTCTCCTCTCCTATTTTTAACTGACAAATCCATTTGTTCTCTAGGCTTTCTTAAATTGTTAATCTCACTCCAAAACTTTTTCTTATTTTCAACAAAATTTGTTGATAACATCTCACCCACTCTCCATTTGCTCTCTTTTTACATTGCTCACCACTCTCTTAACCTCTCTCTTTTCTCCATATACTCTTCCCCTCCTTGCATCACTTTACTTTGTAAAAACTTCTCATATGCTATTTTTCTCCCTTACTTTCTCTCTTTACATCATCATTCCACCAATCGCTCCTCTTCCCTCCTGCACCCACTTTCTGTAACCACAAACTTCGTGAAACACTCTAACACTACATTTTTTAAACCTACCCCATACCTCTCGACCCCATTGCCTATGCTTTTATTAGCTCATCTATCCTCCAATAGCTGTTTATATCTTACCCTAACTTTCCTCCTCTTTAGTTTATAAACCTTACCTCTCTCTTCCCTGATGCTTCTATTCTCCTTGTATCCCATCACCTTTTACTCTCAGTGTAGCTACAACTAGAAAGTGATCTGATATATCTGTGGCCCCTCTATAAACATGTACATCCTGAAGTCTACTCAACATCTTTTATCTACCAATACATAATCCAAAAACTACTGTCATTTCGCCCTACATCATATCGTGTATACTTATTTATCCTCTTTTTCTTAAAATATGTATTACCTATAACTAAACCCCTTTCTATACAAGTTCAATCAAAGGGCTCCATTATCATTTACACCTGGCACCCCAAACTTACCTACCACACCCTCTCTAAAAGTTTCTCTACTTTAGCATTCAAGTCCCCTACCACAATTAACTCTCTCACTTGGTTCAAAGCTCCTATACATTCACTTACATCTCCAAAATCTCTCTCTCTCCTCTGCATTCCTCTCTTTCCAGGTGCATACACGTATTATGACCACTTCTCGCATCCAAACCTTTACTTTAATCCACATATTCTGATTTACACATTCATAATTCTCTTTTTCATTCCATAACTGATCATTTTAACATTACTGCTACCCTTCCTTTGCTCTAACTCTCTCAGATACTCCAGATTTAATCCCATTTATTTCCCCCCACTGAAACTCTCCTACCCCCTTCAGCTTTGTTTCGCTTAGGGCCAGGACATCCAACTTCTTTTCATTCATAACATCAGCAATCATCTGTTTCTTGTCATCCGCACTACATCCACGCACATTTAAGCAACCCAGTTTTATAAAGTTTTTCTTCTTCTCTTTTTTAGTAATTGTATACAGGAGAAGGGGTTACTAGCCCATGCTCCCAATTCTACCAACATTAATACAAAATATTCACCTTGCACAACAGGTTTGGTCAGTCAAACACGGGCAACTGTAACACTAGTAGTAGTTTTGCCGTGATCAATCCATCAGCCTTGGTAGGAGGCAGTCAGACTCTCAAGTCACCATCATTATATTCAACTGTATTCAACTGAAATAAGACTACTGTGCAGGCAAAACATTTCAGCAATAAAGACATCCAAATGTTTCACATGTCTTACTCATCAACTTGTCAGTATTGCACACCATCATAGTCTACTGCACCTTGATATAAGGGACTTCAGAAAAATGCGATTTGGAAATAACAGTCGAAGTTTGTTTACAGTCATATTTTTTATGGTTATGATTACAACAAAATAATCTCATCTTTATAAATCATAACTGCCATGACCAGCCACCTACCCTATTAATTTGCTAAGTCAAAGAATTACTGAACTGAATTAGGTATCAGAATAAAGTTGAATAGATTATAAAGAATGTAGCCAGAGACAAAGAGATTGAGAGAAAGTTGATTCTTTTGTAAACAAATACATAAAATATAAAACTGTGAGATCAATATTAGAAGATTTCATTTTCTGTACGACAGCCCAACTATGAGAGTAGAATTGCTGTCTCAAATTTAATGGAAAGAAGAGCAAAGGGGTAAATCCTTTGCAGGATTACCTTCAAGAAAAATACCAGTAAAGACTTAGTGAGGTGTAAAATAATGCATTTTTTAACACACCGGCCATCTTCCACCAAGGTAGGGTGACCCATAAAAGAAGAAATGAAAGCTTTCCTTCTTTTTACATTCAGTAATCTATACAGAAGGGGTTACTAGCTCCTTCCTCCTGGCATTTTAGTCACCTCTTACAACACACATGGCTTATGGAGGAAGGATTCTTTTCAACTTCTCCATGGAGATAAAGGAAAAAATAAGAACAAGAACTATCAAAAAAAAAAAAAAAAGAAGAAAACTCAAATGGATGGATGTATACATATACATGTACATGCATAACAACAGTAACAAAAAAAGGCACAATACCGTGACTGGAACAATACACAAATAACCCGCACATAGAAGAGAGGAGCTTACAACGAAACGTCATCGTAAGCTCCTCTCTTCTATGTGCAGGTTATTTGTGCATGTACATGCATGTTTAGTGTTATCCAAATGTAAGTAGAATTAGGAAGATGTATCTGTTATCATGTGATTTTATGAGACAGAAAGGAAAGACACCAGCAATCCTACTCTTGTGTAAAATAATTACATGTATATGATTCCATTTCACACTCACTTGACAGGACAATAGTACCTCACTCAGTGGTTGCTGTCTACCAACATATTACTAAAACAATCAAGACAATACTCACTGAGGCAGGGTGACACTTTCACCATCATTCACACATATCACTGTCTTTCCAGAGGTGTGCAGATATGACAGTTCATATATCACTCTAAACAGCAAATATGCAAACTTTTTAGGTCACCCTGCCTTGGTAGAATACAGCCAGCTCATTGGAAAAAAAAAGTCAGCTTAACATAAGCTTGATAATAGTTACCTTTAATAGTTTCTTCTGGAAGGTTTTCTGATAATGTCATATCATACTTTGTCCGAGTTCCACATTTTCTTTTATTTGTATTACTCATATGGTCTCTTTTTTTTCTAATTTGAGCCTTGAATTCAATTCTGTTCCATAATCTTCGTAAGTCACAGAAAACATTTTTCTTGAGCAATGATTCCTTCCTATATTTTTTAAGGGGCATCTGAAATTAGAAACATTATGCAGTGTGGTTGGCTATTTTACTTTATGAACGTGAAAAATTGGGAAAGAAACAATCTTTCCAAGCAATAAGACACAATTAGGAATACACATCAATTAAGTGCAAGAAGTGCTGAATTATATTTCACTACAGTAGCACTAACCAATGTGATTTTATGACCTTACAAATGAGCAATATGAGAAAAAATTAAATTCTACTGTTAACATATGTCTGCTTACACTACATGGATTAAATGCCAATATTGTCTTTCCACTAAATTTGAACATAATAAATGTATAACAGAAAATAAATTGTTTAAGAATGGAGTTACGGGAGAGAGAATTTCTCATAAACCAATGATGAATCAAGCTCTGTTAAATGAAGCTCTTCAATTTGATTCATTCTTATTTTTTTTAATATGTCAGCAGAGTATATGGAGAGAAAAAGAGAGGTTAAGAGAGTGGTGAAGCAAGTAAAAGAGAGCAAATGAGAGAGTGGGTGAGATGTTATCAACAAATTTTGTTGAAAATGAGAAAAAGTTTAGGAGTGAGATTAATAAGTTGAGGAAGCCTAGGGAACAAATGGATTTGACAGTTAAAAATAGGAGAGGAGAGTTATTAAATGGAGAGTTAGAGGTATCGGGAAGATGGAGGGAATATTTTGAGGAATTGTTAAATGTTGATGAAAATAGGAAAGCTGTGATTTCGTGTATAGGGGAAGGAGGAATAACATCTTGTAGGAGTGAGGAAGAGCCAGTTGTGAGTGTGGGGGAAGTTCATGAGGCAGTGGATAGAATGAAAGGGGGTAAGGCAGCTGGGATTGATGGGATAAAGAGAAATGTTAAAAGCAGGTGGGGATATAGTTTTGGTTGTATGGAAGAGGGTAAGGTACCTAGGAATTGGCAGAGAGCATGCATAGTTCCTTTGTATAAAGGCAAAGGGAATAAAAGAGAGTGCAAAAATTATAGGGGAATAAGTCTGTTGGAGTGTGAGCAGGGTAATATTTAGTGAAGGGATTCAGAGAAACCAGTTATTTTTACATAGCCAGACTTGAGTCCTGGAAATGGGAAGTACAATGCCTGCACTTTAAAGGAGGGGTTTGGGATACTGGCGGTTTGGAGGGATATGTTGTGCATCTTTCTACGTATATGCTTCTAAACTGTTGTATTCTGAGCACCTCTGCAAAAACAGTGATTATGTTTGAGTGAGGTAAAAGTGTTGAATGATGATGAAAGTATTTTCTTTTTGGGGATTTTCTTCCTTTTTGGGTCACCTGCCTTGGTGGGAGATGGCCGACTTGTTAAAAAAAAAAAAAAAAAAAAAAAGTCTGTTGAGTATACCTGGTAAAGTGTATGGTAGAGTTATTAATGAAAGAATTAAGAGTAAGATGGAGAGTAGGACAGCAGATGAAGGGTTTAGGAAAGGTAGGGGGTGTGTAGACCAAGTGTTTATGGTGAAATATATAGGTGAACAGTATTTAGATAAGGGTAAAAAGGTTTTTGTGGCATTTATGGATTTGGAAAAGGCATATATGACAGGGTGGATAGGGGGGCAATGTGGCAGGTGTATGGTATAGGAGGTAGGTTACTGAAAGCAGTGAAGAGTTTTTATGAGGATAGTGAGGCTCAGGTTAGAGTATGTAGGAGAGAGGGAGATTATTTCCCAGTAAAAGTAGGCCTTAGACAAGGATTCTATACTACAAGATGGGCAGAAAGCAGCAACTTCACTCTGGCTGTACCCTTCTCCAGAACATCACTTCATCTGAGATCATTTATCCCCAGGATGACTCGAGTACGGCACACATTCGTACAGCATTATGATGTCAACGAGATAAAGTCAGTTGATCAAATGAAAATGCTGGCCCACAGATGGCTCCAACTTCATCCTGTTCCTTACTTGTATGTCTCATAACAATAAAAACACTTGTATGTTTCATAACAATAAAAATACTTGTATGTTTCATAACCGTGGTTGTTCAGTATACATTTACAGATGGGGTTGTAAGAGAAGTGAATGCGATTGTCTTGGCAAGAGGTGTGAAGTTAAAAGATAAAGAATCACACATAAAGTGGGAGTTATCACAGTTGCTCTTTGCTGATGACACTGTGTTTTTGGGAGATTCTGAAAAAAAGTTGCAGAGATTGGTGGGTGAATTTGGTAGAGTATGTAAAAGAAGAAAATTAAAAGTGAATATAAGAAAGAGTAAGGTGATGAGGATAACAAAAAGAATAGGTGACGAAAGACTGGATATCAGATTGGAGGGTGGGAATGTGGGGGAAGTGAATGTATTCAGATATTTGGGAGTGGATGTCTCAGCGGATGGGTCTATGAAGGATGAGGTAAATCATAGAACTGATGAGGGGCAAAGGGTGAGTGGTGCACTTAGGAGTCTGTGAAGACAAAGAACTTTGTCCGTGGAAGCAAAGAGGGGAATGTATGAGAGTATAGTTGTACCCACACTCTTGTATGGATTGTGAAGCATGGGTGATGACTGTTGCAATGAGGAGGAGGCTGGAGGCAGTGGAGATGTCGTGTCTGAGGGCAATGTGTGGTGTGAATATAATGCAGAGAATTCGTAATTTGGAAATTAGGAGAAGGCGTGGGATTGCCAAAACAATTATCCAGAGGGCTGAGGAGGGGTTGCTGAGGTGGTTCGGACATGTAGAGAGAATGGAACAAAACAGAATGACTTCAAGAGTGTACAAATCTGTAGCGGAGGGAAGGTAGGGTAGGGGTCCGCCTAGGAAGGGTTGGAGGGAGGGGGTAAAGAAGGTTTTGTGTGTGCAGGGTTTGGACTTACAGCAAGCATGCGCGAGCGTATTTGATAGGAGTGAATGGAGACAAATGGTTTTTAATATTTGACATGCTGTTGGAATGTGAGAAAAGTAACATTTATGAAGGGATTCAGGGAAACCGGCAGGCTGGACTTGAGTCCTGGAGATGGGAAGTACAGTGCCTGCACTCTGAAGGAGGGGTGTTAATGTTGCAGTTTTATAATTGTAGTGTAAAGCCCCCCTCTGGCAAGACAGTGATGGAGTGAATGATGATGAAAGTTTATCTTTTTCGGGCCACCCTGCCTTGGTGGGAATTGGCCGATATGTTAATAATAAAATAATAATGTCAGTAGTCTCCCACCAAAGCAGGGTGACCCAAAACAGAAAGAATATCCCCTTCTCCTGTATAAATTACAAAATCTAAGAAGAGAAACTTTCGTTTTTCTTATTAGGTCACCCTGCTTCGGTGGGATACAGCTGGTTCGTTGAAAAACAAAAACAGCGAACCTGATCTAAAGAAGAGATCTACAATTTTCTCTCCAAGAAAAGCATTCCCAATCTACTTATTTTGCCGATATTAATAAGAGCTGCATTTAGACGAGTCAAACATCATAACAAATCTTTATTGAAAGGAGCTCAGTTTTCCATGCAATCCAACACAAATAACCCACATATAGGAGAGAGAAAAGCTTATGACAATATTTCTTGGACCATTCGCACTGACAGAAGAGAGTGAGTGAGCCAGTACATATAGGTAAGGAGGACAGGCACAAGAGAAACACAGGAGGAACAAGAAGCAGTGGTAATGCTGGTTGTGGTAGTAGTAGTAGTGGTAGTAAGGAGTAGAGGAAGTAGTTTATGCCACAGGAGATAGAACAGAGGCATGAAGGGGGCAACAGTAGTCGTCGTAATAGTAGTAGAAAAGGTAGAAGATAGAAGCAGTAATAGTAGTAAAGGAGTGGTAGACGTAGTAGTAGTCGAAGTGGGGTAAGTCTAAGGATAAGAAAAAGAGCACTGCATGAGAGCTAAGGGTCCACTTTTTGCCAAACTAACACCCCTCACAATAATCTAGTTTGTACCTCCTCCCTGTAATTAATGCCCCTGGTGTCTATTGTACTTCATGCTTCTCTTGTCCCCTTCAATACTTTTTAGAAACGAGCCACTCTCTTTCTGATAGACTTAATGAGCACAAAAAAAAAAAAAAGTGTTAGGCTTGCCGACACCAATAATGCCCTTGTCTGTCATGTTAGAGATCCCAGTCATCCTACTGACCGGTCCTCTACCAAAACTGTCTATCCTACTTCAAGTCTCACAGCCATCATCTTGTTAAAGCATCCCTTATACATAGCTTTCCTTGTAGGAATCTCAGTCCCAGCTTTTTCTCTGTAGATGCCTTTCTTTCTCCTTACATTGTAAAAGGCTCCAAACTTCAGAAAACTAATGACTTGACCTTTCTTCTCCCCCTACCTCTTCTCCTTTCCTTACTTCTTTGTTTTTCTTTTCTTCTGCCTAGTGTGTTCTGTCCTTCAGTTTTTCCCCCTCTGTGTTTTTGTCCTACCTCTTGTGGGCTTCTAGCTTTCCTGCAGTGCTCTTTTTCTTGCCCTTAGACTTCTATTACTACTTTCTACTACTACTACTACTTACTATTACATCTACCACTCCTTTACTACTATTACTGCTTCTACCTTTTCTACTTCTATTACTACCACTACTATTGCCCCCTTTGCTCCCCTTTCTATCTCGTGGCATAAACTACTCCCCCTACTTTCTACTACAACTACTACTACTACTACCACTAGTGCTACTTCTACCACCACCACTACTACTACTATAGTGGACCCCCGCATAACGATTACCTCCGAATGCGACCAATTATGTAAGTGTATTTATGTAAGTGCGTTTGTACGTGTATGTTTGGGGGTCTGAAATGGACTAATCTACTTCACAATATTTCTTATGGGAACAAATTCGGTCAGTACTGGCACCTGAACATACTTCTGGAGTGAAAAAATATCGTTAACTGGGGGTCCACTGTACTTCCACTACAAGCATTACCACTGCCACTACTTCTTGCTCCTCTCTTTCTCCTGTCCCTGTCTTCCTTGCCTATATATACTGACTCACTCACTCCCTTCTGTCAGTGTGATTTGTAAATGGTCCAAGATGGACCAAAACGTCTTCGTCATAAGTTTTTCTCTCTCCTATGTGCGGGTTACTTGTGTATTGTTCTAGTCATGGTATTGTGCCTTTTTGTTCTTCATGCATTCCATAATATGAAGTTAATATTAACCTTGTCTTTAAGGTTTTCAATGCCTTGACTAACCTCATCAGCACCAATATCCTTAACCACTGATGTCTTGCTGATAAGTGATTTCACTGACATTCCACCCAAAGGGTTGTCAGTTGAATATTCCTTATCATTATCACCCTTGTTACTGCCACTATTTTTCTCATCCTCAAGATCAAAACCTGAATCCTTGAAAAACAGTGGTTTTGAAAATGTTCTTTGATTAAGTTCATTTGGAGTTAGAACAGCTATGTTCAACCCTGATGAATCTCTTTTAAATGTTGTAGTAATTGAATCACTGCTTATTCCATTAATTTCCATTCCTTGTCTCAGTAATTCTAAGGCTGTGTATAAATTATGACCTGCAAAAACAAATGAAAAATTTGATTATAATCTTAAGTTTTATAATACCTCCTCATAAGTAGGTGTATGTATATTACAGTGGAGTTTTAACATAAAAGATAATGTATGGAACATCAATATGCACAAGAGATGAACTTTCATATCACTGTATTAGGCATCAGAATGAGGCTCAACAGACTGCAAAGGACATAGCCAGAGACTGGAAGACAATATGATGAAGTTTTACTTTTGTAAATACATACATACAAGAAAAAACTGATAGAACCACATCAGAAAATCTCCTGATTTTCTGTGTGATGCTTGAACTGTGAAAAATGGAATTTCTCTCCCAAGCTTAACATACAGAGGAGTAAAAAGTGATTCCTTTGCAGGATTATGTCTAGGAAAGAGACCAAAGTGAGCGAGTTGTACAAAGAATGAACACATGACTGGAATAAAATAGTCTGACAATATAGTAACACATCTTGTCCCATATTATTTGGACTGTAATCTATGTAACTTCCTGTATCTTCACCATCTCTATTCAATCACTCCACAAATCTGAACATCACTGAATCAATTTAAATAATATGTAACTCTTTTATAATTGACCTTTTGTCCTTGGCTACCTTCTTATTTTACTTATGAATGTAATTAACTGCATAAGAATCCTACTTAACAGTCTATGTCTAGTTCTAAGAAACATGTAAACCTTATGATTATTTTCCCAAAAGGCATTGCATATTAGTGGCTTTCATTTGTGCCTACTATTGTACTAATACATTTAAACTATATTATTTGTATGGCATAAAGAAATAATGAATATTATTATTAGAAGTCGACTTAACATGAGCTTGGTTATAGTTACTTTTCTCAGTTTCCTCTGGAAGAATTCTTGCCGATGTCATGTCATACCTTCTTTTAGCTCCATATTTTCTTTTAATTGCACCATGCTATAAATTCTCTCTCTTGTTTAATTCTAGTATTGACTTCACTTGATTTCCTTAATCTTGGAAAGTTACGAAAAGTTTTTTTCTTGTTCATTGACTTCTTCCTATACTTTTCTTGTGGCATCTGAAATTAAAATCAAAAGGCACTGTGGTAGTCTTGTTTTCATTTACGAAAGTCGATAGTTTAGAATATTAAAAACCTTTCCAATTAAGATAAACTGATTAGGAAAAAGATATCCCTTATCCCTTTCATTGCCTCCTACATATATCAATGTTCCTGATGCCATTGTCGCTCATGTAGATCTACGTACAGCGCCCTCAAAAATGCTGTGAGCTTGATGGTGGTACCAACATTCTTATATCAGTGTGAAGCTTGGGTTATGAATGTGAGGAGGAGGTTGAAGGCAGTGGTGATATCATGTCTGAAAGCAATGCGTGGTGTAAATATCACATAGATAATTCGTAGTTTGGAGAGCTGAGGAGGGACTGTTGAAGTGGTTTGAACATTTAAAGAGGTCAGAGAAAAATAGGATGATCTGGAGGGTGTATAACTCATGAAATTGTAATAATCCAACTGCAAACAAACCTACCACACTCGCAGGAGATTCATCTATAAAAAACTTGCATTTGTGGCCACAGTGGTGGCCTATGCTAACCTCCCTATGGTGTATAAATATAACTAGTTAGATGAATTTTACTGTAGCCAGTTGGCCCAGTGGTTTACACACTGGCCTGGAGTTTTATGACTTACTTGCCATGAGTTCAAACCCCACCCATTCCATGTTTTGTTTTTTAGGGTGTATAAATCTGGAGTGGTGAGAAAGCGAGATAGAGGTAGCCCTAGGAAAGGATGGAGGGAGGGGGTAAAGGAGGTTTAGTGTGCAAATGGCTTGGACATTCAACAGGCATGCACGAGCATGTCAGATAGGAGTGGAGGCAAATGGTTTTTGGGACCTGACAAGATGCTGAGTGTGAGCAAAGTAACATTTTGTGAAGGGATTCAGGGAAACCATTCAGCCAGCCTTTAGCCCTGTAGGTGGGAAGTACAGTGCCTGTACCCTGAAGAAGGGGTGGGTTATCAGCATGCCTCTGGTAAGACAGTGATGGAGTGAGTGGTGATGAAAGTGTTTCTTTTTCAGGTCACCCAGGAACACAGGAAGAACTTCAAACAATAAATGAAACTTGAAACTTGGAGTATACCTGGAGAGGGTTTTGGGGGTCAATGCCCCTGTGGCCCGTCTGTGACCAGGTCTCATGGTGGATCAGGGCCAGATCAACCAGGAGAAACCCAAAATATTTCTTTTTCTTATGCCAAATCTAGGGCAAAAACCACATCCAGCACTGGATCCTTGCTTAAACAAAATGGGACTTACACAGATGACAGCAAAGAAATGAGTGAGATACTTCAGTTCCAGTATGACCCAGTGTTTAACTCTCTAACTGTCCAAACACAGATCTACGTTTGCACATGTACGCGCTCCGCCCTTGATTTTCTCCATAAGAAAAAATGTAAAAAAAAAAACGTTGATCAACGTTCGGAGCACTACGTGAGCAAACGTAGATCTACCTTTGGACAGTTTAAGGGTTAATGAGCTGTTAATCAGACTAAGGGATGACAATCTATGTGAATTTTTTTATGATTGAGACTCAAAATTTGGTTAATTCCAGAATTTCTGATATAACCTAATACCACAGGACTTTGAAAAAGCAATCAATGATATGCCCATGCACTCTGCCTTAGGCCCAGACTCCTAGAACAACATGTTCATCAAGAACTGCAAGAAACCCCTTTCATGTGCCTTAAATATTCTATAGAGAGGGAGCAAAGACAAAGGGGTATCCCACAGTTACTAAAAACAATGGATATAGTCACACTCCACAAAGGTGGAAGTAAAGCAATACCACTAATGTCCAACATCATAAAAATCTTTGAAAGGGTTCTAAGAAGCAAGATCGCCAACCAACTGGACACCCAACAACTGCACAACCCAGGGCAGCATGGATTTAGAGCAATAAGTGTCAGGGGGCCCAAGACTGTGTGATGTCTCCAGCATACGTAAGGGGGATTACCAACAGACCCCTGACTGTCTTCAAGAGGGAGATGGACAGGCATCTGAAGTGAGTATCTGACAAGCTGAGCTGCGGTTTGTACGTCAGTTTGCAAGCGGCCAACAGTAACAGCCTGGTTCATCAGGCTCTGATCCACTGCAAGACCTGGTCGTGAACTGGGCTGCGTGGGCGTTGACCTCCGGAACACCTTCCAAGTATACACATGTAATTTCTTTATTTATTTAATTACTTATTTTACCTTACTAGCCATCTCCCAATGAATTAGAGCAACTAAAAAAAGAACACTTTCACCATTACTTTATCACTACCTTGAGAGAGGCATGTCAACATTACAATTCAGATGTCCCTTTAAGCCACATCTCCACACCCTCCTTCAAAGTACAGGCACCTTACGTCCCACCTCTAGAACTCAAGTCCGGCTAACCAATTTTCCTGAAACTCTTTATAAATGTTACCTTGCTCACATTCCAACAGCACATGAAGTCCTAAAAAAACTCTTTTCTTTATGTACTCCTATCTAACATACACATACACATGCCTGATGGATACTCAAACTGCTTACATACATAACCTCTTTTATTTCCCCCTCCCTCCAACCTTCCATAGGACAACCAATTACTCGTCCTTCCTTCCACTTCAGATTTATATACCCTCCAAGTCATCCTATTTGCCTCTCTAAATGGCCAAACCCCCTCAACAACCCCTCCTCAGCCCTCTGGATGACAGTTTCTGTAATCTCACACCTCATAATCTCTAAAACCACAAATTATATGCCTAATTTTTAAACCACACATTGCTGTCAGACATGATCTCCACTGCCTCCAGCCTCCTCCTCACTGCAATGTTTAACACCCATGCTTCACACCCATACAAGAGCACTGGTACCACTATACTTTCATGGATAAGGTTCTGTGTCTCCACAGATGCCTCACCTTGTTCCCCCTCATCAGTTCATCGACCTGTCTGCTGACATACATACATTCCTATACATAAGATATATTAACTGTATAAATGGAGGGCTATCTAGAGCATGGGTGGGCAAAGTTTTCAGTGACATCAACTGGGAATTCTACCTGTCTGATAATGGTTTTGTAACAGCTTGTGTTTTCATCAGAGGAAAATGAACAAAGTTTTGCTCATTCAGCTGCATATACGTGAGTATATGGCTTGATCTTCGCGGGCCTCATGCGGCCCGCAGGCCGCAGTTTGCCCACCCCTGATCTAGAGTTTCTAATATCAACAGGCATCAATCTAATTAACAACTTAGGACATATCATATATACAGTACCTTGCTCCTTGACTGCCTTCTCCCTAACCAGAAGAAATGTCGCAAGCTCAACCTTCACATTTCTTCAGGCACTGCAGGTACATGGTGAATTCCTGTGTCCATCTCTCTTACCAAATGCCTTTACTAGGAAAAGTTTGCTCTCATCATTTATATTTATAAAATGTACTCAAAGTTATTACAGTTTTCTGCAAAAACAATTAAAATAAATATTAAGATAGGTTCAGCATCTTATTTTCCTCACTAAAATAGTGCAATTAATCATATGGTAAAATGTCTAGATAAAAATTGACTGCCTTTTACTTTCCAGAGTCTGTATGACCCTTACATGTTTAGCACTTTCCCAGCCCCATGAATACAATATAATAATAATTTCCCCCTACATACATTTTTCCTTTCCCAACTTTTCTTTCCACACATTCCTTTTCTTCCTCATCAACTCTCCCTACCCCACATACTCTCCATATTCTTCCCTCCACACACTTTTTCCAAGTACCAATGTACGTCTCTATACAAACATAAGTTATTATATTTATTGTATAGTATAATAAAAACAATACACAAAATTGGAAAAAATGTCTGACAGTATTTTGTTAATCTTGCTGATAATTACCCTAATAATTCTCTCGGGAAAGTTTGCTGAAGACATTGTCATAAAACCTCGATCTAATAGATTAACAGAGACAGCATCCACTGCAATGGAGTATGGGCAGAGGTATGGGGTATGGGCAGAGGTATGGGGTATGGGCAGAGGTATGGGGTATGGGCAGAGGTATGGGGTATGGGCAGAGGTATGGGGTATGGGCAGAGGTACGGGGTATAGGCAGAGGTGGTATAAACCTTGGTAATAAATACCGACAAGAGGTATGGGGTATGGGCAGAGGTATGGGTATGTCCCCTTACATACGCTGCCCCACTTATGCTTAGCATTATAATAATAAAGGAAGCTCCAAACCCTTAGGGGGTCCACACATCACCTGAAGGATGTGAGATAATGCCGTTTGATCTACAATTCCTTGGATCAAGATCCCTCCTCCAGCATCAAGGGGGCGCGTCCTTGAATGTAGAAGCAAATAAGTAATAGGTACGAACTCGGTAATGACTTGAAACTAATTATTCATAATTACTGAGTTAAGCAATCATCAAGGCCAGTACCTTGATGCAGGTGAAGGGCTCTTGATCCAAGGGACCTGACACCTCCCCTCAAACACACTTCTAACCTCTTGTACTGTATTTCACTGCATTTAAGAGGAAGCGCTCAACCTGTAGGGTTCACACAGCGCCTGGGAAATAAGAGGCAAGGAGATCTGATCCGAGGAAGGGGAGGAGAGCTCCAATTCCTAGCATCAAAAGCACCTCACCGGATTCCTCAGCTTGTTGGTGTTGTTGTTGCTGGGGTTGTTAAAGGCCAACAAAACTTAAGCTTCACGCCACTCAAATTAACATTAAAATTAATACAAACCAACCAGGGGCCTAGAGCTATCATCCAACCAGGGTTGGATGATGATGTGTTGTAATCAACACATCAGGAGCTTGCAATGTTGCAGCAAAGAGGAGGAGGTTGAAGTAAATACGATCACAAGGAAGGTCCTAGCTGGAGTGATACTCCAGAAAGGAGAAATTCCAACTACTACTTAGATATGCAAAACTTTATGAAATTAAAATAAATTCCAGCCACACAATAGAGCGAAAAACTAATGTGAAGGACCTGGGAGTGATAATGTCAGAGGATTTCACCTTCAAAGACCACAATAATGTATCTATATCTGCTGAAAAATGATAGGATGGATAACGAGAACCTAAAAAACTAGGGATGCCAAGCCCATGATGATTCTCTTCATGAAAGTTAAGACACTTGTGCAACATCTGGTTATCTTTATTATAAACGTTTCGCCACCCAGTGGCTTTATCAATACAAATTCTTGGACATAATTAGAAAACAGAAGAACTATATACAAAAGATGAGGTAATCAGTCCCTCAGCCTTGGAGGTGTTTACAACACCAGACTGATTACCTCATCTTTTGTATATAGTTCTTCTGTTTTCTAATTATGTCCAAGAATTTGTATTGATAAAGCCACTGGATGGCGAAACGTTTAAAATAAAGATAACCAGATGTTGCACATGTGTCTTAACTTTCATCTTGTCGGTATTGTATACCTGTCTTGCACAACATGATTCTCTTCAAATCGCTTGTGCTTTTTAGGCTGGAATATTGCGGTACACTAACTGTCCCTTTCAAGGCAGGCGAAATTGCTGACCTGGAGAGTGTACAAAGAACTTTCACGGCACACATAAGTGCGATAAAGCACCTAAATTCCTGGGAATGGTTGAAATCCATTTATTTGTATTCCATGGAATGCAGGCGAGATAGATACATGATAATACACACTTGGAAAATCCTAGAGGGATTAGTACCAAACTTGCACACAAAAATCACTATGAAAGTCAAAGACTCGGCAGGAGATGTAACATTCTCCCCAATGAAAAGCAGAGGTGCCACGAATACACTGAGAGACAACACAATAAGTGTCAGGGGCCCAAGACTGTTCAACTGCCTCCCAGCATATATAAGGGGGATTACCAATAGACCCCTGGCTGTCTTCAAAAAGGCGCTGGACAGGCACCTAAAGTCAGTACCTGATCAGCCGGGCTGTGGTTCGTACGGGGATTTACGTGTGGCCAGCAGTAACCGCCTGGTTGATCAGATCCTGATCCACCACGAGGCCTGGTCTCAGGCCGGGCCGTGGGGGCGTTGACCCCCGGAACCCTTTCCAGGTATTTCCAGGTATATAACGTGTGTAAACCACCTGGTAAGCCCCTTCCTCCCCCCCCCCAAAAAAAAAGGTGACTTATTACATTGGGGTCCTTTACTGACGTAAAACTTGCATCTAGACCTAGCATGCTACTTAAAATATTGAGTATTAGTACAACTTGTGTAATTCATTACAGTCATAAGTACAATAAAACAGGCTGATAATGACAAATTGATCAACGATAAATAAATTATATAGAATATGCATCGGTTAATCATCTGAATTTTTGTGGAGTGTCAGATGGTGTGACCAAACCATGAGATTTTGCCTATAGAAAATATCGTACCCCTGAAATGCTGAAGCTCTTTTAAACTGCCCGTGCTGCATCCTGGGAGCGGATGACAGAGCTTCGGCAGACTGGGAAAATAAAAAACAGGGGTGCCACGAGTACGCTAAGAGACAACACAGTGTCAGGGGCCCAAGACTATTCGACTTTACCTCAACATTACAGAGGTACATAGTGGGTCCAGGGACTGTACCTCAACATTATAGAGGTGCATATTGGGTCCAGGGACTGTACCTCAACATTATAGAGGTGCATATTGGGTCCAGGGACTGTACCTCAACATTATAGAGGTGCATATTGGGTCCAGGGACTGTACCTCAACATTATAGAGGTGCATATTGGGTCCAGGGACTGTACCTCAACATTATAGAGGTGCATATTGGGTCCAGGGACTGTACCTCAACATTATAGAGGTGCATATTGGGTCCAGGGACTGTACCTCAACATTATAGAGGTGCATATTGGGTCCAGGGAGACGGGGGAGGTGGGGAGGATATCTCAACATTATAGAGGTGCATATTGGGTCCAGGGACTGTACCTCAACATTATAGAGGTGCATATTGGGTCCAGGGACTGTACCTCAACATTATAGAGGTGCATATTGGGTCCAGGGACTGTACCTCAACATTATAGAGGTGCATATTGGGTCCAGGGACTGGGTCACAAAGTTCTGATAGCTGAACAAGTTACAATGGTAATGAACTATTTACATGTTTATATCTGGTTACAATTTTAATGAGTTATTTATGCAGACATTCATTCAGTCTCACACCCGTGAAGAGGCGGGGCCAGGAGCTGTGAATCGACTCCTGCAGCCACAATTAGGTGAGTACACACACACAAAGACAAAGACGACAGGATGTTCCAGAGATGGGACACAGCAACAAAGGGACACAGTTGGAAGTTGACGACACAGATGAATCACAGGGATATTAGGAAGTATTTCTTCAGTCATAGAGTAGTCAGGAAGTGGAATAGTTTGGGAAGCGATGTATGAGGTCAGGATCCATACACAGCTTTAAGCAGAGGTATGATAAAGCTCATGGTTCAGGGAGATTGACCCAGTAGCGACCAGTGAAGAGGCGGGGCCAGAAGCTATGAATCGACCCCTGCAACCACAACTAGGTGAGTACATAGATGGAGCAGGGAGAGAGAGGACCTAGTAGCGTTCAGTGAAGAGGCGGGGCCAGGAGCTGAGTCTCGATCCTTGCAACCACAATTAGGTGAATACACACACACACAAAGTGGCAATGCTTTATTTACAGTGAACAAGGTCAGGGTATTTTTCCAGAATAGTTGGTAATACGTATACCACTATTTATAAAATTTCTCCGAATTCATAATTTTATCGCATTCCAGTACATAATGACGCAGGGTGTGACAATTGTCCATCATGTTAAGTTTACATTTCGTTTGGTCTACATCTGGTGGTTGTGATTTAACCTGCCAAAGACACTAGTAACCCAGCCGGAGCCGGGCGGTAGTGACATCCAAGAGTCTGCTTATTTTGTTGGATGTATCATAGAGATGCGGCTCCTCCTGCATGATAGAATGATGATAGACGGACTGACTGGTGTCAGTCTCCCTCAGTCTTAGGTCAATAAATTTCAGTTGAAGTTCTTTTCATATTATTGTTCTCATGTAGCTAGTCAAGCCGTAACGGCTTGACAAAGCTCCTGGGGAGCGAAACGTTGCCACAATAAAAATATGTCACATTAGTGGCACTTGTGTCTTTTTACTTTACATCTCATACTGCTAACTGACAGCCAGAGATTGTAATCTACTCCCTCTTTGAAGGCATATATCTTAGTTAATTCATTAGCTCTATCTTCATCCACTGTTTCATCATGGCTGTTCAACTACCTGACGACTCAGAAGGTGAAGGAATGCTTCCTGGTATCGTCGTGTGTATCCCTTTGAGTATGCTGGTGTCGATCCACTTGGTCACGTTTACTGGTGTGTTTTTCCCCACTAGTAACGACTTGGCTGGTGGTTTAGTAGGAGCTGAAGCATCCAACAAGACCAGTGTGAGAGGGAATCCACAGGTGTACTCTGACTCGACTGTTCACAATCCTACCACACCAGTGTCTGGCTTCTGACACAATTATGCCACAATTTATACTTAAGGAGTTAAAAGCATTTATGGATGATAGAGAATCAGTTTTTAGCAAGGTATATTGGAATTTAGACAGGTTGAATTAGTTAAGAGTTATTTACTCTATGTAAGGGTAGGGTGACAATAGTAAAGGAAATGCACAAGCTGTAGAACCAACATTTTATTGTGTCAAAGTTTCGCTTAGAATTGATAAAGCTCTGCACAGAGGAAAACGTTGTCCTGAAGTCTGTCTTCAAGAGACGCTGATGAATAAGAGAGGTGAACAATGCTAGGGTGTCTTTTTGCCGACAGAAAGATGCCTAAGTGTTGCACATGTGTCTGACTCGTCAACTTGTCGTTAATAAGCACCATTAACGTGATTCAGGAGACGGCCATAATGACTGGGGTTCATCTCTCCATTAATTCTTCTCACTGCTCCTGAGGGTTCATTGTGCTGCTGCTGCCTGACTCTTCTTCTAACTCTAGTTTTCACTAGTTTATGTGTGTATACATGCTAAAGCAGCCTTCTGCTCCCGCTTCCCTGGTAACAGTTCAGGCTCCTGTCACAGTTCCTACTGTCTTCAAGAAAAGATATTTTCACTGATACGATCCTTTCCCCATACCAAACTATTCCATTATAGTACTTCTCCTTTTTTATTAGGGTTTTATTTACCTCTCAGATTTTTCCATTCGTTTTTGTTAGCACATTTTGAAGTTGATATTCTTTCTTCTGTCCCGTTATTTACTTATTTTATCAAAGGATTCAGGTGATATGTAGTATGAATATCTAATACCACTGGTGAATAGATTGATAGTTGCTTCTTCAAGCACTCTCCCAGTTGAGGGTCTACGCCACATTCACTTCCGTGAGTGAGCCAGTGACCCTGTGACCCAGTGACCCTGTGACCCTGTGACCCAGCTTTGTTACGAATGTCTTCAAAGAGACACTAGTCTGAGCGGCTAGTGTGTTGTACACCCTTAGCTCATACTTTGAGTGGTAAAGCAAAAGATAGGATTACAGAGGTCACAAGACTAGGATGTTGTGTCTTGCAATCAAATGCGGTAACTATAAAGATCCCTGAGGCAACCCAAGTGATCACTCTACATCACTACTTGTGCAGAAGAAGAAGAAGAAGAAGAAGAAGAAGAAGAAGAAGAAGAAGAAGAAGAAGAAGAAGAAGAAGAAGAAGAAGAAGAAGAAGAAGAAGAAGAAGAAGAAGAAGAAGAGAGGAGGAGGAGGAGGAGGAGGAGGAGGAGGAGGAGGACAGAATGAGTGATACACAATGATACAATAATCTACATCCGTGTTCTGAATGCAAAAGATGCAAAAATTTGTTGCTCAAAGAGCAACTCTGGAAACTCCCTAACAATAAGAATTTCGACAGGGAGGTTACAATTAATAACATACAATACAACGTTTAAAGTAAACATCAGTAACATTTAGTCTTTAATATCTAAAGTGGAGCCGTCATATTCTTAATTCTATTGACAACTGAGACTAGTTTTGCTGCCATAGTTCACGAGTTCTCTCCTCTCAACAGTACTGGAAAAACAGTATTTCCTAACATCGGGAAAATCTTGTGTTGTGTTCGCTAAACTAGTGGTTCCTATGGTGACTTTACATCTAATTTTCCAAAACATACTGCCCTCTGAGGACGCTAGTTGTATCAAACATAAAAGCGAATAACATATTTTTTGTAAGTTTTTTTTTTTTTTATATGGCCGGAGAGGGAAACTTCGTGGATTATGAAGGACCCTGTGTCTAGAAAGCGGCTATGTCGAGAGGTCTCTTTATATCCAAGTCTCTCTCACTCATAAGCGAATGTGGCGTAAATATAGAGACGTCCTCTACCTCTGCCTGAGCCATACAATCACTCAGAATGCCTCGCTAAACTTCGATAAAGTTCACTGTCCAACAACCATCAGTTCCGTCTATAGTATATTCTCGTGTCTCAAGAGGTAGCTACTTTCTTACACCTAGCAGTATGTGGGTCCCTGATAGTTAGCTGACAGGTGTGGGTCGCATCGTGGGGAAGAGTTACACAGGGCCTATGAGAAACGGGGGGGTCAGCCGGTACATTGGTCCGGGGCCCGGCTGTGAATCTCTGAAAGGGCATCATAGCCATAGACGTTTTAATTTTTTCATTTGATTTTTTTTCTGTAATTTCAACTATTTTTATAAATGTTGGTAGATTTATCGATCAGTGATCAAAGAAACCAACTTTCGCAGACGCAAGTGCCTTGAATCATCACTAATAGCTGTTTCTAATACAATTAAGCAAAACAAAGGCAGCTTCACCATCTCTGAAGTCTTAGCAAGAATCCTCCTGAAAACAGTAAACCCTGCCATCATATAGTCTCTCTTGCTAAAGCTACACAAGCACATTACAGAGGATGAACACTGAAACAGCCCTTCTCTATAATAGAAATATTTGTCTAACCTATTTTTATGCTACCCAAGTAATAGATTTTATATCAAACCATACCACAGGCGGGGACAGAACCTGCCATCCGAGTCTCAAAACTCCAGACCGTCGCATTAGCCACTGGACCAGCTAGCCACAATAAGATTCGTCCAATTAGGTATATTTCTACACTATAGGAAGGTTAGCATAGGCACCAGTGTGACTACAAATACAAGTTTTTACAGGCGAATCTCCAGCTAAGCGTGGCCGTGACGAACTCTAGCTCAAGTCCCCTCAAAGCCGTTACGATTTCGTGAGTCATGTTAACAGTTTTTACATCCTTTTACTCATGTGCAAGTTAATTGTTCTACCATATTTTATTTCTACTACAACTTATATCACTACTACTACTACTACCACTAGTATTACACCTCACTCTGAGCCTATATACATCCTCTGTGTGAACATCAAAATGGTATACAATACCGACAGGTTGGTAGGTAAGACACATAGGCAACAGTTAGGCAACTATATTCCGAAACGTTTCGCCTACACAGCAGGCTTCTTCAGTCGAATACAGAAAGTAGGCAGGAACAGTAGAGATGTGAAGACGATGTAATCAGTCCATCACCCTTGAAGTCGTAGAATTTGAGATAGTTCCTGACTGAGGGACTGACAACCTCAAATTCTACGACTTCAAGGGTGATGGACTGATTACATCGTCTTCACATCTCTACTGTTCGTGCCTACTTTCTGTATTCGACTGAAGAAGCCTACTGTGTAGGCGAAACGTTTCGGAATAAAGTTGCCTAACTGTTGCCTATGTGTCTTACCACATCCTCTGTGTCCATGTATTGTTTGTAACGGCTTGACAAAGCTCCTGGAGAGCGAAACGTTGCCACAATAAAATGTCACATTAGTTGCACTTATGCCCTTATACTTTACAACTATTTTTAGTTTATTTAGAAAAATAATTATGTAAAATTCACTTAGACTGGGGACCTCAGCCTGCCCTCAAGTGCCCCAAAGCAGTCTTGTTCCACCTTGCAAAATTTCTCTGGATGCCCTGAGAAGAGAATCAAGCAGCCCTGATGGAAGTCAGCCACAACGTTATTTTTTTCAACGTTCGCTGCAGCTTTTCTGTTTTTTTTTTATTTTGTTAAGATGAGCTGGGTTGAGTCATGTAAACCTATAAAATATATATTTAACCACCGATAAGGAAATCACACAATAGCAGCAGTGCGTCTGGCAAGAAGGTGGCAGAGTGTAACTAGGACACGTTGAGATGTGCACGAATGTCACTCGTGGTGTAAGATTGAGTTAGAGAATGGGTTGAAGAATGGGTTGCAGTGTGGGCTGGCTGGCCCACTGACTACCCCATGCTTGACTACCTATCAAGACACCTTCAGTCTGACCGGTCATTTATCTGGCTCCTCATCTCTCGTGTCCTGCCTCTCTTGTTTTATGGAGTAATAAAATCAAATTTCAATTTCTTTATATAAACATGCGTTTGATGATGGGCTGTGCTGTCATATGAAGCTCCTCGGGAGGTGCGTGTATAGACATCTCAAGATGTTTTTACTCAGGTAACGTTCAAGAAGTTGCCGAGAGTGGTGGATCTTCCTTCAACACATAAGACGCTTTCGTATCAATTCGTTTTCTTGTTCACTGGACTGCGTATTATCGTTTCAAAACTGTTTCTGTCATATTATAAGGGAGAAATGTTGCCGTCATGTTACAACAATTTCAGCTGAATCAACTTGCATAGTGTTTTTAAAGGTTTTTCTTGTCATTACATTTACACAGGTACAAAACCAAAGCATTTCGATCAACAGGCTCATTGAGGTGACTGGACATGTGAGCAGCGAAATGCTTACGCACTGACAAACGTGGTGTAGCTCACATCTGTTGATGGTGCTGAGGAGTGTGTGACGAGTGTGGTTTGTCGTGTGTGTGGTTTGTGTTCTATGTGGTTCCCAGTGCACCGTGAGTGGTAGCAGCAGAGTGAGCATCAGAAGACGACCTAGGAGGATTCCAGGACCCCGCCATGCGAGGTGCCTGTGAAGGTTGATGCTGCCTACCTCCTGCACACCTACCTGCCGCCCCAGGTGAGCTTCCCTACTGTCACCGTCAGGTGATCCGAGGACAGGTGAGGGCATACCTCCAACTAACTTCTGTAATAATATGCAAGAGGAAAGGGTATAGATAAAGCAGAATGTAAGGCTTAGAGAGAGCATGTGTGGACTTGGCGTTGTTCCAGGTGCCTGGGAGAAGCAACACGAAAGTAAACTGGTCTTACTAGGTCCCCAGAGAGAGGCTTGTGTTGTCATGTGTGGTTACAATACCTACCTATACTGCATATAGTATGCATATTTATCCTATATGTATATCTACGTGTACTCACGTATATGTGGTTGCAGGGGTCGATTCATAGCTCCTGACCCCGCCTCTCTGCTGATTACTACTATGTCCACTCTCTCCTGGCTTCAAGAGCCTTTTCGTACCTCTTCTTAAAGCTATGTATGGATCCTGCCTCTACCACTTCACTCTCCAGATTATTCTACTTCGTGATAACTCTAAGGCTGAAGAAATACTTCCCAACATCCCTATGACTCATCTGAGCCTCTGTCGTTATCATATCCCTTCTTTCTTCCAATGTCATCAGGTTTAATTCCCTTAGCCTCTCTTCATAGGACGTACCCTCTAGCTCCGGGACTAGTCTTGCTGCAAACCTCTGCACTTCTTCCAATTTATTTTCTTACCAACCTAAGACTGAAGAAGCATTTCTTAACATTCCTGTGGGTGAAATGTGGTTTTAACTCCGATCAGTGACACTTGTCCCCTTGAAGATTACGACACACATGCAACAGTTGGGTAGCTTTACTGGTGACACGTTTCGCCTACACAGTAAACTTCTTCAGTCAAATACAAAGAGAGCAGTAGTAATGAAATAAAGATGATGTAATCAGTCCATCAACCTTGGAGAAAAAAGTATTTGAGGTGGTCAGTCCCTCAGCCTGGAGAAGAAGTTGAGCTCCATGGAGCTGTGTTCTCCAGGCTGAGGGACTGACCACCTCAAATACTTATATCTCCAAGGTTGATGGACTGATTACATAATCTTTATTTCATTACTATTGCTCTCTTTGTATTTGACTGAAGAAGTTTACTGTGTAGGCGAAACATTTCATCAATAAAGATACCTAACTGTTGCACATGTGTCTTAATCTTCAACCTGTCGATATTTTATACCATTTTCTACAACACTTGTACCCTTGCCTCGTGCTTCAGTCTCTCCCTACCTTCCCTGTCAAATCGACTGAATATCTCGTACGTCACAATCATATCTCTCCCTGTCATCTCATCTAATGTCATGAGGTAATCATTTTTTAGAGCCAGCCGGCCTGTGCGTTTTAACACTCGCCTGCCATGGGTTCACACCCCACCCGTTCCCTGGTCTGATTTCTCTGAGATACTTACAAGGAAGACAAGTACACGACATTTAACAGTAACCTTAAAGAAGTGTAAGGATACGTTTAGAACAGCCATGAGAGACCTACCTGGAGTTTACCTGGAGAGGGTTTCGGGGGTCAACGCCCCCGCGGCTCGCTCTGATACCAGGCCTCGTGGTGGATCAGGGTCTGTTCAGCCAGGCTGTTACTGCTGGCCGCACGCAAACTGACGTACGAACCACAGCCCGGTTGGTCAGGTACTGACTTTAGGGGTCTATTGGTAATCACTCTTGTGTATGCTGGGAGGCAATTGAACAGTCTTGGGTCCCTGACACTTACTGTGTTGTCTCTCAGTGTACTCGTGGCGCCCCTGATTCACTGGAAGATGTCGCACCTCCCTGCCAAGCGATTTGCTTTCATAGTGAGTGATTCTCGATCTGCAAGTTTGATACTAATCCTGTTAGGATTTTCCAGCTGTATATTCTGTATCTCTCTCGCGAAGAGAAAATAAGAGATAGTATAACAAAAATATACACAGTGGTAGAATGTTGGAATGGGATGCAAGAGCAAACCAATATGACCTTACACTGAGGTCACCAGACCACCAGCAGAGGTCTGCTGTTATAACCACAAACACTGAGGTCACCAGACCACCAGCAGAGGTCTGCTGTTATAACCACAAACACTGAGGTCACCAGACCACCAGCAGAGGTCTGCTGTTATAACCACAACCACTGAAGTCACCAGACCACCAGCAGAGGTCTGCTGTTATAACCACAAACACTGAAGTCACCAGACCACCAGCAGAGGTCTGCTGTTATAACCACAACCACTGAAGTCACCAGACCACCAGCAGAACTCTGCTGTTATAACTACAAATACTAATTTAGTAGTTCTGAGCATATAAATGACTCATATACAGGCCAAGCCCCCCTCCCCCTTTTGCCCGTTGACTGTGTCGCATCTGAACAGGTTGTAACCCGGGATCCATATTTCATTGTCCAAGTGATCCTTTACGTGGGTCTCTGTGAAAACCGCGAACATTGCGTTTGACACTGCTAGCAGTCCATGGATAAAAGACATTTTGTTGTTCGTGCCGGCTTCAGACCCTGTATATTTGCAAAGCTGAATGTCGTCGGATTGGTGGTATTGGTGGCATGGGGAAAGGAATCTTTTTTTCCTGGCACTAATATCTGTTGTTTTGGAGTGGAGGCCATCGACTGTGATTCCACTCCAGAAATGGTGTGGATTTCTGTCATTTCCTGCCAGCATTTTTTTTCCTTCCTGGCGCTAAAAAAAACTCTCTCTGGAGTGGCTGTGGCTGCATAGTTTTCCCATGGTCTGGATGTTCTTTCCTCTTTATGTGGTGTGCCTGACAATGTAAGTTATAGCATTGTTTTCTTGAACTGAAGAGTGACATATTTCGGGGAGGAAAATCTTACAGGAAGGGAGGTTGCATTTTTCCTGTTGTCATATGGGCACGGCATTTTCTGGGATGGTCAAAGTTGCACGCCCCATCTGTTTTTCCATAATAGATACCAAAGTGGTGCACATGTGTCTAATTTATCAATATTGTGTCTAGATGACATGCAGTCTTTAATGACCCTCGTGTAGTCGACAGGACTGAAACTCCCATCAAGCAGTCACTGTAAGGTTTCTGATTTCGCAAAATTTATTTCAGTAACAAGAAGAATGAAAGTCACAATAATGTGCTTGAAACAATTCACGAATGACCCAAACGTTTGAGAGCGCTTTAGACGACGTTTTGGTCCTTGGTGGACCGTTGTCAAGTCACAACTGATACAATAATGGTCCAGGATGGCCCGAAATCGCTTTTAAAGTTTCCTCTCTAAAATGTGTGCTAGTTAGTTGGTTAATGAGATTTATCGCCTAACTACTACACGAGGGTCATTAAGGCTGCATGTCACCTGCTCACCACCAGTCAAGAGTACTTTAATACATGAAATAGGCAGATAAGTAAACTTTGAGCGCATATACATCGAAAAATATACACTTCTCGGTGTATACAGAGTTGTGAATTCATTGTAAACACAATAATCAAGATTCCAAGATGATCTCCCACTCACCTATGGGTGCCGTGTTGTGTTGACCAAGTGTGGGTGTTGCAGGAGGATGTCTGGGGAGAGTTACACCCGTTGGCGCTCTAACCCCGACGAAGACGAAGATGAAGACATCCCGGAGGCTGGAGGTGGTCACCGCGGGGCAGGAGCTGTCACCATCATCACCTCCTCCAGAAGCAGACCCTCTAAGCCTCTCTCCCCGGCGGGACAAGCCAGGCTAGTCTGCATCCTGGTACGTTCAGAACTCTTAAATACCGTCTGACGAGTACCTTCACCAATGGGTTTTCTTGACGAAATTCTCAGACGAATTAAGAACACAATTATTAATACCGTGGTAAGCAGCTTCATATATCACAGAAACGTTTCGGAAATGAAATCTGAGAGACTGAAATATTTAGATGAGAAATGAAGAAGTTTATTACGGCTTTGCTACTTATGTTTTATATTCGTCTGAGATTCTCCTATTTATATATTTGCAATAAGATCACAGTAAAAGTTGATATATCACAGTATGTGGTTATGTATATAAGCAACCTTAATAACCAACCATCTTTCCTATTTGTGTCGAAAGAGACAGGGCCACACACTAGTGTCTAGACAGACAGGACCACACACTAGTGTCTAGACAGACAGGACCACACACTAGTGTCTAGACAGACAGGACCACACACTAGTGTCTAGACAGACAGGCCACACAGTGTCTAGACAGACAGGACCACACACTAGTGTCTAGACAGACAGGACCACACACTAGTGTCTAGACAGACAGGGCCACACTAGTGTCTAGACAGACAGGACCACACACTAGTGTCTAGACAGACAGGGCCACACACTAGTGTCTAGACAGACAGGACCACACACTAGTGTCTAGACAGACAGGGCCACACTAGTGTCTAGACAGACAGGCCACACTAGTGCTAGACAGACAGGACCACACTAGTGTCTAGACAGACAGGGCCACACACTAGTGTCTAGACAGACAGGACCACACTAGTGCCTAGACAGACAGGACCACACACTAGTGTCTAGACAGACAGGGCCACACTAGTGTCTAGACAGACAGGACCACACTAGTGTCTAGACAGACAGGGCCACACACTAGTGTCTAGACAGACAGGACCACATACTAGTGTCTAGACAGACAGGACCACACACTAGTGTCTAGACAGACAGGAGCACATACTAGTGTCTAGACAGACAGGACCACACACTAGTGTCTAGACAGACAGGACCACACACTAGTGTCTAGACAGACAGGACCACACACTAGTGTCTAGACAGACAGGACCACACACTAGTGTCTAGACAGACAGGACCACACACTAGTGTCTAGACAGACAGGACCACACACTAGTGTCTAGACAGACAGGACCACACACTAGTGTCTAGACAGACAGGGACCACACACTAGTGTCTAGACAGACAGGACCACACATAGTGTCTAGACAGACAGGCACACACTAGTGTCTAGACAGACAGGACCACACACTATGTTGTCAGACAACGCAGGACCACACACTAGTGTCTAGACAGACAGGACCACACACTAGTGTCTAGACAGACAGGGCCACACTAGTGTCTAGACAGACAGGACCACACACTAGTGTCTAGACAGACAGGGCCACACTAGTGTCTAGACAGACAGGACCACACTAGTGTCTAGACAGACAGGGCCACACACTAGTGTCTAGACAGACAGGACCACACTAGTGCCTAGACAGACAGGACCACACACTAGTGTCTAGACAGACAGGGCCACACTAGTGTCTAGACAGACAGGACCACACTAGTGTCTAGACAGACAGGGCCACACACTAGTGTCTAGACAGACAGGACCACACTAGTGTCTAGACAGACAGGACCACACACTAGTGTCTAGACAGACAGGACCACACACTAGTGTCTAGACAGACAGGACCACACACTAGTGTCTAGACAGACAGGACCACACACTAGTGTCTAGACAGACAGGACCACACACTAGTGTCTAGACAGACAGGACCACACACTAGTGTCTAGACAGACAGGACCACACACTAGTGTCTAGACAGACAGGACCACACACTAGTGTCTAGACAGACAGGACCACACACTAGTGTCTAGACAGACAGGACCACACACTAGTGTCTAGACAGACAGGACCACACACTAGTGTCTAGACAGACAGGACCACACACTAGTGTCTAGACAGACAGGACCACACACTAGTGTCTAGACAGACAGGACCACACACTAGTGTCTAGACAGACAGGACCACACACTAGTGTCTAGACAGACAGGACCACACACTAGTGTCTAGACAGACAGGACCACACACTAGTGTCTAGACAGACAGGACCACACACTAGTGTCTAGACAGACAGGACCACACACAGTGTCTAGACTAAGACCACACACTAGTGTCTAGACAGACAGGACCACACACTAGTGTCTAGACAGACAGGACCACACACTAGTGTCTAGACAGACAGGACCACACACTAGTGTCTAGACAGACAGGACCACACACTAGTGTCTAGACAGACAGGACCACACACTAGTGTCTAGACAGACAGGACCACACACTAGTGTCTAGACAGACAGGACCACACACTAGTGTCTAGACAGACAGGACCACACACTAGTGTCTAGACAGACAGGACCACACACTAGTGTCTTAGACAGACAGGACCACACACTAGTGTCTAGACAGACAGGACCACACACTAGTGTCTAGACAGACAGGACCACACACTAGTGTCTAGACAGACAGGACCACACACTAGTGTCTAGACAGAGCCCCCCCCCAGACACACTGAGCGTCTGAAGAACTTGCTATTCACAGACAAGAACAGCAATCACTTAAGGAAAAAACAAATCACCTCATTGTTAATGATAACATATCTGAGTTATTGGCACTGTATCCACATTTTTAACCCGCTACGTGAATACGATAAAAACTATAATCTTGGAAATTTCCAATGCTTGCATGCTTGCAGTGGTAGTGATAAGATCTGTGGACATTTCGAGATTGTAGCCACATATTATAACACTGGGTGGTCGATTAGCTAAGTTTATTAAGGTACAGTTACATATAGGTACAGTTATCATATAGTAATATATGCAAGACAAGCCACGGGGAAAGGGGTGGAAATCGTCGGCTCAAGTATACTGACACGTCTCCGTGCGTCATCAGGAGCTATTCAATACTGCAAGATTAGCAAGAGAAGGAATGAAGGGAAGTTTCCTCAGAATGAGTTAGCGTGTTTGCACCAGTTAGCAAACTTCTCTCACACCACTCCACTTCACTCCGAGAAAACATCCTCTCATTCCTTCTGTTGCTATTCTTGTAGCATTGCATAGCTCCTGATGACGCACGGAGACGTGTGAAAATACTCGAGGTAAAAATTTCCTCCCCCCGTACTTTGTCTTGCATTAAGATCGCCTGTCTGCGGTTATATTGCAAAGTAATATATGTATCAATTACTTTGGGCAGTCCAAGAAAGTCAAAGTGAATTATTTCCGTTGAGGTACTTATAATATCGTATGAGACTACAGTATATGAAATGTTTCTTGAATGTTAAAGATGTATATCTAATGGAGTTACAAAAAGAACCATTGTAACCCCTGGTAATACTATTTTTTAGCTACCGTTCCTGAAACGAATTGAAGTTTCACAATAAACGAGCCACTCTGACCACACGAAATAAAGTTGGTACGTCCATCACTCTTTTCTGCATAACTTCTCATATATTCTTATAAATATCCCAAACAATGGACGTCAAAATTGTTCCTGAAGGAGGAGACACAAGCCATCAATCAATAATATCAACAGAAGAAATCGTTCTCTCTTGTCAAAAAGGCAGGGCAAGCCACTGACTGCTTAATTACGACAAGCATGTACTGAGTCCATAAATCACCCAAGATGGCTAAAAGGACCCTGGGCTTGTCTACCATTTAGTAAGGAGGAAGAATCTCAAAGAATCACTTAGGACCTTCATTATGGCAGAGTACAATGTAGACACGTAAGGGGAAAAAATGAAATCCCATAAAACTTACATGATAGAAAGAATAGAGAGACTGACAGTACCATAGCTGCGACAGTTCATAAAATAAACGTGACAGAAAGAGACCTTTTAGGTTAATATCACAGTACTAAAGTACAATATCACAGTACTGAAGTACAATATCACAGTACTGGAGTACAATATCACAGTACTGAAGTACAATATCACAGTACTGGAGTACAATATCACAGTACTAAAGTACAATAACAATAGTCACTTTGTGTTTCATACACAGCATCTATCAGGAATGTCGTAGAATATATGACTGACTTCACGGGGGCAGCGCTAAACTCGCAGGGGGGCAAAAAGCGCCTGATAGTAATGGAAGGTAAATAGGTTCGATTCATGAGGAGGACAGGTTCAGTTCCTTAGGTCAAGAGCCTCTCACTGGCATCAAGGAACCTCCCATGAGAGGTTATATATTATAGTATTATCATGGGGAGCGATAAACCCGTAGGGATATAGATTAGAGACGATGCTGCCTCAGTTATCATGACTTGTGAAATTAGTTGGACGAAATTTTGCAAAAATAATAATAATAATAATAATAATAATAATAATATTATTATTATTATTATTATTATTATTATTATTATTATTATTAAACTGCTCTGAAATTAGTCAAATATCAGAGTAATGAGAGATTCTACTTGAGGCTTCGTTCAGATTCAGTAATGGATACTGATGTTCTGAACCTTTGTAATGATTTATTAGTAACAGGAGCTGCTGGAGCAGCAGCTGCTGTTGCAGTAACAGAAGCTGCTGGAGCAGCAGCAGCTGTTGCAGTAACAGGAGCTGCTGGAGCAGCAGCAGCTGTTGCAGTAACAGGAGCTGCTGGAGCAGCAGCTGCTGCAGCAGCAGATTAAGTCACACCCTAACAGGTGTGTCTCTCCCACTTCTCTGCAGGTGTTACTGTTGCTGGTGTGCCTGGTGTGTGTGGGCGTGGGCGTGTGTGTAGGCCTGGCGTGGGGCTACTCCAGGAACATCATCCACCACGCCATCGACCACGTCATCCCTGCGCCTTCATCCAACCACATCCGCGCCTCCTCACGCCTTATACCCAACCTTCAGTCTAACATCATCCAAGACTATGCAAGGTAACTTACTTCTACCTAGTATTATTATCATTACTCATATAATAATAGCAATAATAATACCAACAATAATAATAAAGATACTATTATTATTTACACGAGGAAGCGGTAAATCCGTTGGGGTCAAGCAACGCTTGGAATTTTAGGAATAGATTATAGGGGAAAGAAACAGGGAGAAACAAGTGGTTGAGGACATACATTAATTGAAACCATACCACGGGCGGGGTTAGAATCCACGATCAGAGTCATAAAACTCCAGACCGCGGGTTCTAACCCCGCCCATGGTATGGTTTGTTTGCAATCGTGTCACTACGATTACAAGAGTAATATTAATGACAAGCAATACCGACAAGTAGACGAGTAAAACACATGCGTAACACTAGGGTATCTTTAGTATCGATACGTTTCGCCTACTGTGTGGCGAAACTCTTCTCCTGGCCGAGGGACTGCCCACCTCAAAGCAACCTGAAGGTTGATGACTGATCAAATCACCCTTACCTCTCCACTGCTTCTGCTGTCACCTCTATATTCGACTGAAGAAGCCTACTGTACAGGTGAAACGTTTGAACAATAAAGATACCCAACTGTTACTCATAGTGAGGTACCGACGAACAGAGTATAGGTGAGTAAGCTATATGAGTCAGTAACATACGGAAGAACTGTGAGTGGGCAAGAGTCCAGGAAGGAGCGAAACGTCGTCATAGGGTTCCTAAGCTCAACTCTTCCTCAGGAAACTATCGCAGATGCCGAAGAAGCTGCTGGCATCATACGTGGAGAGTGTATGGCAAGCCCAGGGTCTCCACACCACCAACACCACCTTCCGTGTCCAGCTCTCCAAGCCTGATGTGTAAGTTTCACACGGTACCCCGTGTCCAACTTCTTTAAGTCTATGTAATAATTCTTGTACACTGAGTACGTGTCATAAGGGAACCCCGCGTCCAGTCAGCCTGTAGTAAGGCCCATTAAGGGTAAGGGGTCATTAAAGGCAAGGGTCATTAGGGATAAGGGGTCATTAAGGATGAGGATCATTGAAGGCCTCGTTTAACCAATGCACTGAAGTTTACTTTATTATAACAGGGGGTACTCTCTTAGTGTATACACACAGAGATACATACCTCTAAGTGTGTATACATCAAAAGACAGACATCTCTCGGCGTATACACCGAGACAGAAAGAATTCTATACATATACTATAAAATACCACGTTACTTTGCAGCGTCTGTTGCACTGCAACATTAACGTGGCTGTGTTTGTTGCATGTGCTGGTGTGGCTTGCAGGGACCGACCCAACACCGTCCAAGTGACATACAGTGATGGTCGTCAGGAGATCATTAACTCCCTCCCTCAAGAACTCGATCCTATCCCCTTCAGCGCCTACAGGTGAGTCTTGTCACCCACAGCTGTGCAACATTTCAGACATACTTTTGACGGAGCCTTCAGGATAGGACTTCAACCTTGACATCAGTAGTCCAGGGAGGTGAACACGTCTACAACCTTCAACATCAATCCTAAGACACGTCTCTGTGAAGTGCCTTCCCATTTTTTATACGGGTTGGAAAACCTATACACATTACACACTGTATACATGTATATAATGCAAGTATTTATTCATGGGTCTACCTTAGAGGTTTATTATTGTAAGCGAGTTTCCTACACACAGTTATACCTTTAATAATATAAGAAATAATAATAATAGCAGCAGCAGCAGCAGCAGTTGTAGCAGGAGTCTTCGTAGTAGTGGTGGTGGTGGTGGTGGTGGTAGCAGCAGTTGCAGTAATAATAGCAGCAATAATAGTAGTGGTGGTGGAAAAAATAGTAGCAGTAGTAGCAATAGCTATAGTAGTGGTGGTAGCAGCAGCAGCAGCAGTAGTAGTACTAGGGTCAGTAGTAGTAACTGGGGTGGTGGTGGTGGTAGTAGTAGTAGTAGTAGCTGTTGTACTACTACTTCTAATAACAATAATAATATTTGTGCAGCCCGGCTGGGAGGGTGACTGGAGGGTTAGTGTATGCTCACTACGGACGCAGGAACGACCTCGTCACTCTCCAAGCACAAAAGGTCACTCTGGAGGATGCCATCTTCCTCGTCAGGCACGGCAAAATCCACAACGGTGCCAAGGTCAGTGCCCATCACTGCCAATCATCTTTCTTACTGTTAGAAACAAGTGCTGGTGTTCCCTGTCTACCACTTGATTTAGTTAAGGCTTTCCACTGAGACACGTTTCACTCCGTGTAGAGCTTTGTTAGGTCAAGATGAAGCTGTACATACAGCGAAACGTTGACACAAAGAACTTGCATTCAGAACATTTTTTTTAGCAAAATTCAATACACCAGCAGTGTGCTGTTACACTTCTACAATATAGTTACAGTGGGAACACCGTAGTGTATTGCTACACTATTCTGTATGATAGTTACATAGGAACACCGCAGTGTATTGCTACACTATTCTGTATGATAGTTACATAGGAACACCGCAGTGTATTGCTACACTATTCTGTATGATAGTTACATAGGAAACCGCAGTGTATTGCTACACTATTCTGTATGATAGTTACATAGGAACACCGCAGTGTATTGCTACACTATTCTGTATGATAGTTACATAGTGGGAACACCAGATGTGTTTTGCTACACTATTCTATATGATACTTACATAGGAACAAAAGCTAGCTACGCTTCCTTTTCCTCTTCTCAGATACACAACGCGGAACAGGCTGGAGCCGGGGGAGTCATTCTGTACCCAGATCCTGCAGATATGCGGGACGGTCAGGGCAACAGGGCACCATACCCTAATGGTACGGGCCTACCAGACGATGGTATCATCTGGGATACCCTCAGTACCTTCCCTGGTGACCCTGCCACGCCCTTCCTACCCTCCCTCGAGTATATTTACAGGTGAGCATCCTTTAATACTCCTGTGGGAGGAATCTAAGTAATTCCTCCCACGATCGTCTCTACGGGTGAACACCCTTTGCAAGGTCCTCTCTTGATAATTTCTACGAAGGAACCTTTATCTTCATCCCAAAACAATGGCCTGCTAGTTTTAGGACTGACGTGTCATAAGTTTGAACAATCCTTTCTGTGAATTGTTTCTAATCGCATCATTACGGCTTCACAAGTTAGCATTAGCTCTGTCACGAGGCACCTTGGAGATGTGAGACAATACAGGGTGAACCATAATTCTGGAACCATAGGGGAAAATGACAAGAAATCGGTAATTAATAGAGGCCAAATTCATAGGACGTGTTCAGTGTGTCCGTCTGTCTCTCTCCCTGACTTCGATTTTCTACCAATGGAGTTAACTGGATATGTTCTAACTCATACATCATGAGCAACTACATAAATGGAAAAAAATATTACTTATTTTAGCCTCTGGTTCCAGACATATGGAACATGCTATAAACACTTCCCTGGATCATCAACATCCAAGGTGGTGGAAAACTCCTGATGGTATGACATGGTGGATGCAAATGACGTGCTGCCGACAATCTTGAAGACACACCTAACCTAACCTTACAGAACAAGCTTAACCGGGACAACGTTTCAGTCTGTGTCGGGCGAGACATTGCCCCAATAAAAGCCTGATCATCAACATGTTATTCTTCAGTACGTCTAGTGTTTAGTTCATTACACAGACTGAACTTAATCAAGTTCTACTGTACTTCAGCCTCCTGTATAATTATGAAACTTAAACGATACCTTTTTTCTGAGTAAACTGTATAAAATTTCATTAAGGATAAACCAGTCAAGTCTGAGATGTGTTTACACTCGCAGGTTGACTCATGCCGCTCAAAAAACATCCCGCAGAACAGAACAAAATCTAAAAATAAGATACTATTAGGTTTAAGTTGTACAGATTACAGGTGTGTCACCGAGATGTGCACTGACTCCTAGTTCCTCAGATCCTCCAAGATTCTCTTAGTTCCTCCTAGATTCTTCTAGATCTTCTCAGTTTCTCCTAGTCTCTCACATATCCTCCTAGTTCCTCTTAGTTCCTCCTCGCTCTTCCTAGATCCTCCTACATCCTCTCAACTGATTACTACTCCACAGAAGTGGGCGATCATCTCAGCCACTGCCAAGGATCCCTGTCCACACTATCAGCTGGAGGGACGCGCAGCGGATGCTGGCACTGTTGGGCGGCCCTGAGGTGCCACAGGAGTGGCGTGGTAAGAGCCAGCAGCTGGGGTATCGCCTGGGGGGGTCGTGGACCCCTGAGAGCGACGTTATCAACCTCACACTCACCGTCAACAACATTATTTATCAAGACACCATCACCAACATCCACGCAACACTACCTGCTGCTGATGACTCCAAGTAAGTCTACATACATTATTATTATCATTATTATTATTATACATTGAAATAGGAATACTAATAATATGCCAACACATCGACTCCAGGCTCAGGGACTGATTACCTCAAACTTCTCCTCTCCTTACACCTTTCTACTTTGTATCGGACTGATGAAGCCACTGTGTGGCGAAACGTTTCTTCAATAAAGATTCCCATATGTTGCATAAGTGTCTCAGTCTTCAATATTTTTATTATTGTACAATAATAGGAATAATAATATACAACATTATTATAATTTTGGGGAAGCACCAAGTCCGTAGGGGTAAGACAACGCCTCGGGAATGGGAGGTAATCAGCTTTCATCCAAGAAGAGGGTAGGTCCAATTCCTCGCATCAAGAGACCTTCACCAGCATCAAGGGACCCCTCTTGATGGAGCAGTACGATGACAGTCTGCATGTAACATACACAGCCAACATTTAATGTATATAATTATATAGAATGATGGTCCAGATCAACGGTTCTCAAAGAGTGGGCCGCGGACCACCTGAGTTAAATCAAGATGTATATGTACTAAGCATGGTTATGGTGGGCAGGATGGTGATGGTAGGGTGCCACTATGGGTCCCTGCAGAGCGACCCTGGGGCAGGTCTAGGATCCCTGCTGGCCCTGAGCGACGCCCTAGCTAAGACCTTCCTGCCTGAGGGTACACAGAGAAAGTTGGTGTTTTCCGCTTGGGCCGCCTCGCACCACGGTATTGTCGGCTCCACCGAGTTCACGCAGGTGGGTACCAAACACTACTGTTATAATAATAATAATAATAATAATAATAATAATTTTCCATGGGGAAGTGGGAAAAGAATTCTTCCTCCGTAAGCCATGCGTGTCGTAAAAGGCGACTAAAATGCCATGAGAAAGGGGCTAGTAACCACTTGTCCTGTATACATTACTAAATTTAGAGAGAAACTTTTGTTTTTCTTTTTAGGTCACCCTGCATCGGTGGGATACGGTCGGTTCGTTGAAAATAATAATAATAATAATAATAATAATAATAATAATAATACTTGACGTGCTGTTGGAGTGTGAGCAAAGTAACATTTATGAAGGGGTTCAGGGAAACCGGCAGGCCGGACTTGAGTCCTGGAGATGGGAAGTACAGTGCCTGCACCCTGAAGGAGGGGTGTTAATGTTGCAGTTTAAAAACTGTAGTGTAAAGCACCCTTCTGGCAAGACAGTGATGGAGTGAATGATGATGAAAGTTTTTCTTTTTCGGGTCACCCTGCCTTGGTGGGAGACGGCCAGTGTGATAAAAAAAATAATAATAAATAATAATAATAATAATAATAATAATAATAATAATAATAATAATAATAATAATAATAGTGTTTCGTGGTGTGTTACAGCTGTACTCGTGGTGGTTGGATACAGGAATGATGGCGTATCTGAGCATTGACGAGATGTTGCAAGGGATAGGTACAATGCGGGTGATGGCGTCTCCTGCCCTCCGTCAGGCAATCAGAGAAGCGGCCTCCCACGTCTCTTGGCCCCTGGGAGAGGCTGTCAGCGTCCGTGATGGCTGGAGACTCTCAGATCCACTGGGAGAAAGTAGTGAGTATAATCTCCAGTAAATTTCTAAGAAAATCTTACGACGACGTTTCGGTCCAACCTCGTAAATGGTCCAAGTCGGGCCGAAACGTCGTAAGCTTCTCTCTCTCTCTCCTACGTGCGGATTTTGTATAAGATGAAGAGGTTTGGATACAGGTGACGTACGCAGAGACGAGATTTAGGACGAGGTTTCGCTCTGTGGGGAGCTTTATTAGGCTAATGACTTGAGAAAGATTCAAAGAGAGCGAAACGTTTTCAGTTTGTACTTTTCTATTATCCGCAGCACATCTCTCCCTCCATAAAAACGTTGCAGAAGCTTCCATCGGGGCCACGTTTCTCTGTAGAGCTTAAGTCAAGTTCATTCAGAGCGAAATGTGCTTCCAATAAAGTTCATTTTGCAACGTTTACCCCCTTTCTTCACTGCCATGTTTTCTCCATTTTTAATAATAAAAAATCGTTAGACAAGTATGGCCCCATCACGTGCGCCACAACAGACAAGTATGGCCCCATCACGTGCGCCACAACAGACAAGTATGGCCCCATCACGTGCGCCACAACAGACAAGTATGGCCCCATTACGTGCGCCACAACAGACAAGTATGGCCCCATCACGTGCGCCACAACAGATAGGAACGAGTATCAGAAAAAAATTCTTACCAGAAGTTGTAACGTTGACAATGGTCGAAAATGGACCGAAGCGTCGCCATCAGGTTTCAACTGTTCCAGCCACGGTAGTCTGGCCTGTTTTTCCTTCTTACTAAGTGGCTCTGCCCTACATAACTATCATAACGATGACTGTTAAACCCATAAGCGTCATACAGCTCTGCGCGTTATCCTACAAAAGGGCATTTTACAACAATATGTTTGGTTAGGTAAATATATATATATATATATATATATATATATATATATATATATATATATATATATATATATATATTATATATATATATATATATGGCATGAAAACAAAGGGTTTAACAAGACTCACGAAATCGTAATGACACGATTGCAAACAAACCATACCACGGGTGGGGTTAAACCCGCGGTTAGAGTCTCAAAACTCCAGACCAGTCTAGAGTTTTGGGACTCTCTGATCGCGGGTTCTAACCCCGCCCGTGGTATGGTTTTTTTTTTTTTTTTTTCAAAGGGTTTAAACCAGGGAAGGAAAATCGAGGCTCCAGGTTTACACGCAAATACATAATATTTCACAGCAGTGAACAGTCAGGTTACGATAAGATTTACTAGCTTTTATCTGTTTAACCCGGGGGAGGATTGGTCACCAAGGATAATTATCATATCGGGTTGTAACTCGATAAATTCAGTACGTCATCGGAGACTATTTCCACTGGGGAGGGGGGGTCTTTTAATCTTCTCCCCCCAGGATGCAACTTATAACAGTCGACTAATATTCAGGTACCTACTTACTGCTAGGTAAATTGGGGCAGCAGGTGTAAGGACACATGTCCAATGTTCACCCTTGACGGGGGGTGATTTCCGGTTCCTCAGTGTGTGAGCTGCGGACGATGTTGACCAAACCAAGAGTGAGTGAGTCGCAGTGTTAAAGTCTGATATGTGAACTGTAGTCATATAATTAGAGTAATCTGGGTGTTGAGCCTAAGTCAGCCACTTCAGGAAGACAATGATATAAACTGTAAACTGTTAATTGTCACTGGTAGTGACGTTTTAAGCATAAATGTGGTTATAATAAACAATTTACTTGAATCTGTCAGTTATCTATTGATAGACACATTACAACAACTAACTAAATTAAGAGGACCAGGATCAAGGGGATACATGTGGCATCTCCACCTGTTTGTAATATCCTACTCACCGGTCTGAAAGGATATTCCTGACAGGAACGAAGACGAAAACACAGGTACCAAAACTGGACTCTCTTGGATAGCGATTCTTCTGAAGAGAGCGTTATCAAGCTCTGCTTAGAGTTAAACATTGTGCCAATAAAGTCTTGTGTGTCTTTATTCATCCTTCTTACTTCTCCAGACGTCTACTACAGCAGTGTTCTGTGTATGTATGAGAACACCACTTTTTAACACACTTCTTGTTCAGTTTACTTTATTCCTATTCTATCTCCTTTTAGTGTAACTAATTTACACACATGTTAAACTATGTATGATAATTGTACTGCGTAGTTGTACCTAAATAAACTTACACTTCAGTAGTGTACTGCTGGTGTAAGACAACACCTTGTAAAAAACACTTCTCGGTCTTGCAGACGTCCACTTCAGTAGTCTGGGCTCCGGCAGTGACTTCGCCAGCTTCACGGCTCAGCGGGGCATCCCTTCAGCTCACTTTATGGTCATGGGTGAGAACTGGGTAAGAGATGGAGTGTGTGGAGATAAGTGTGAATGGGTGAGAAGGGAGGGAAGGATGGGTAGCACTGCTTCCTGCTGGTTAAAACAAAAATAATAAATTTTTCAAAGCAACACTTGGAAATTTAAGAATTACGTATATATGTCGTACTCTTCTAGCGTAACTTTGCAAATGCTCGTAGACAACAATATAAACTGACTACAGTCATGTCAGAAACACTTTTTATCAATGAAAATATTTAATATATGACGTTTCGCCCACATTGGGAGTTTATTGAGTACTTGAAAAAGCCCCACTGTGGATGAAATGTTGTATAAGAAAGGGTTTCTTGTTAAAAGTATCTTGTAAATGACCACCCCGTCAAGCAAACAATATTCGCTGCAGCACCACCACGTTACATAAGTATTAGGCAGCTCATACAACATAAGCCATCGTAGATCTTAAAAAAAAAAAAAAAAAAAAAAAAAAAACTCAGCAATAAACACCATATTTCGAGGGACTTCCGCACCTCCTTTAGTGGACTGCGGACCGCACATTTTGCTTTACCCGTCTAGAGCATCAGTGACGAATTTTCCCTTTTTCTTCCCTGGACGCTTGGTCTCTCGTCTTGCACAACCAGATGGGCAATTGGTCGGGCAGCCATAGATCAACTCTTACACAAACAACCTGCACATAAGAGGAACTTAGGACGACGTTTCGGTCCGACTTGGACCATTTCTCTCCTATGTGCGGGTTATTTGTGTATTGTTCCAGTCACGGTATTGTGCTTTTTTTTATTATTTAGATCAGTTCTTGTAGGCTTGGGAAAAGCCTTTTGTTGATAATTCAAGTAGGGCAAGGTGTGGGTGTCTGAGACAGCCGGGGTTTAGGCAAGGGGTGCCACCTGACCTACCTGATAAGATATTTCCGATTCTCTTTTGCGGATGAGACTTTGTTTCCTTTTTTATTTAAGCCCAGATTTAGGCGACATGTTTTTCTCACGGGAGAGATGGCTCAGTAAACCGTAAGCTTGGGTAGCCCTTAAGTTCCCCTGTAATAACAACAACCAACAAAATCTTTAAAATGAATCAATCCATTGCTCAAATGCATTCTGATTCTTTGTACTTATTTAATGGCTTTGTATGTGTGGCTGAGTTCTGCTGTATAAGCATACGTAACGGGACGTCTGCTGCATAACACACACACGCATGACAGGAAGTCTGCTCCATAACACACACACATGGCAGGAAGTCTACTGCATAACACACACACACACATGACAGGAAGTCTGCTGCATAAGACACACACACACAAGACAGGAAGTCTGCTGCATAAGACATACACACACATGACAGGAAGTCTGCTCCATAACACACACATGACAGGAAGTCTGCTGCATAAGACATACACACACATGACAGGAAGTCTGCTGCATAACACACACACATGACAGGAAGTTTGCTGCATAAGACATACACACACATGACAGGAAGTCTGCTGCATAAGACATACACACACATGACAGGAAGTCTGCTCCATAACACACACACATGACAGGAAGTCTGCTGCATAAGACATACACACACATGACAGGAAGTCTGCTCCATAACACACACACACACATGACAGGAAGTCTGCTGCATAAGACATACACACACATGACAGGAAGTCTGCTCCATAACACACACACATGACAGGAAGTCTGCTGCATAACACACATACACACATGGCAGGAAGTCTGCTGCATAACACACACACACACATGACAGGAAGTCTGCTGCATAACACACACACATGACAGGAAGTCTGCTCCATAACACACATACATGACAGGAAGTCTGCTCCATAACACACACACATGAAAGGAAGTCTGCTGCATAACACACACACATGACAGGAAGTCTGCTGCATAACACACATACATGACAGGAAGTCTGCTCCATAACACACACACATGACAGGAAGTCTGCTCCATAACACACACACATGACAGGAAGTCTGCTCCATAACACACATACATGACAGGAAGTCTGCTCCATAACACACACACATGACAGGAAGTCTGCTCCATAACACACATACATGACAGGAAGTCTGCTCCATAACACACACACATGACAGGAAGTCTGCTGCATAACACACACACACATGACAGGAAGTCTGCTCCATAACACACATACATGACAGGAAGTCTGCTGCATAACACACACACACACATGACAGGAAGTCTGCTGCATAAGACATACACATGACAGGAAGTCTGCTCCATAACACACACACATGACAGGAAGTCTGCTCCATAACACACACACATGACAGGAAGTCTGCTCCATAACACACACACATGACAGGGAGTCTGCTCCATAACACACACACACACACACACACACACACATACATGACAGGAAGTCTGCTCCATAACACACACACACACACACACATACATGACAGGAAGTCTGCTCCATAACACACACACACACACACACATACATGACAGGAAGTCTGCTCCATAACACACACACACACACACACACATGACAGGAAGTCTGCTCCATAACACACACACATGACAGGGAGTCTGCTCCATACACACACACACACACACACACACACACACATACATGACAGGAAGTCTGCTCCATAACACACACACACACACACACACACACACACATACATGACAGGAAGTCTGCTCCATAACACACACACATGACAGGAAGTCTGCTCCATAACACACACACACACACACACACACATACATGACAGGAAGTCTGCTCCATAACACACACACATGACAGGAAGTCTGCTCCATAACACACACACACACACACACACACACACACACACATACATGACAGGAAGTCTGCTTCATAACACCCACACACGTGGCAGGAAGTCTGCAGCATAGCGCACACACTACCAATGTATTCACCTTAAGTGTCACTTTCCGTACTGCAGCAAATGTTCCTCAAAGAGGGAAGGACTTTGATCCTAGCAAAGAGGCCTTGATTCAAGTAACTATAGTTACCTTTATTTTCCTCAGTTTGGCCCTGACTGCCTCTCATTCCCCATAGCTAATGTCTGGAAATATGTCATTATTAGTATTGTACTTAATAGAAAGCACTAAACCCATAAGGGCCATATAGTGCCTAGGGGGAGTGGGAGGTAATCAGATTCAATCTAAGGAAATGGAAGGTGACTCACGAAAATGTAATGACATGATTGCAAATAAACCATACCACGGGCGGGGATAGAACCCGCGATCAGAGTCATACAACTCCAGACCGACGCTCTAGCCACTGAGCCAGCTGGGCTAGTTGGATGAATCTTATTGTAGCCAGCTGGCCCAGTGGCTAACGCGTTGGTCTGGAGTTTTATGACTCTCTGATTGCGGGTTCTATCCCCACCCGCGGTATGGTTTGAAATGGAAGGTAATTCCAATTCCTGGGACCAAGATTCCCTTGAAGGGGAAATATGACACACAATGCTGGCTACGACTCCCCATCAAGACTCGTAGACCAGAAACTTAACCAGTTCCCCGTCAAGACTCGTAGACCAGAAACTTAACCAGTTCCCCGTCAAGACTCGTAGACCAGAAACTTAACCAGTTCCCCGTCAAGACTCGTCCAACAGAAACTTCACCAGTTATCAACCTGTGTTTTGTTTACATACTGTCGCCTACTCTGACATTCCATTATCCCAGGCTCATGTTTATTTAATTTCGGTTGCTGGTGTGTGTGCTGGTGCGTGCAGAAGAAGACGTACTCCCTCCAGCACTCGCAGTACGACACCTTCCAGGCGTACAACCAGCTCCTGGACCCTGGCTTCAAATGGACTCACATGCTAAGTGCGTTTACGTCTTTAATTAATCCACTTACAACGATTAAGCTCGTCTTCATGAAGAAAAAACTGCTAACCTCTGCTTTTAATTTTAAAATCTGTCTAAGAGATATTTTTTGTGATTTTATATCCTAATATTGTGAAAATTCATGAGACTGATCTATATTTTAATGTAGTTCAAGAGATACAGCCTTCGCCTCATAACCGAAGGATCCCGGGTTCGATCCCAGGACAAGTGAAAACACATGTACAACAGTTGGGTATCTTTATTGATGGAACGTTTCGCCTACACAGTAGGTTTCTGTAATCAAATACAAAGGAAGCACTACTAATGAAACAAAGATGTTGTAATCAGTCCATCAACCTTGGAGAAAAAGTATTTGAGGTGGTCAGTCCCTCAGCCTGGAGAAGAGTTCAGCTCCATCGTTCCAGACCACGGAACTGAACCCATCTCCAGGCTGAGGACCTGACCACCTCAAATACTGTTTCTCCAAGGTTGGACTGGAGTTTACCTGGAGAGAGTTCCGGGGGTCAACGCCCCCGCGGCCCGGTCTGAGACCAGGCCTCCTGGTGGATCAGAGCCTGATCAACCAGGCTGTTGCTGCTGGCTGCACGCAAACCAACATACGAGCCACAGCCCGGCTGATCCGGAACTGACTTTAGGTGCTTGTCAAGTGCCAGCTTGAAGACTGCCAGGGGTCTGTTGGTAATCCCCCTTATGTGTGCTGGGAGGCAGTTGAACAGTCTCGGGCCCCTGACACTTATTGTATGGTCTCTTAACGTGCTAGTGACACCCCTGCTTTTCATTGGGGGGATGGTGCATCGTCTGCCAAGTCTTTTGCTTTCGTAATGAGTGATTTTCGTGTGCAAGTTCGGTACTAGTCCCTCTAGGATTTTCCAGGTGTATATAATCATGTATCTCTCCCTCCTGCGTTCCAGGGAATACAGGTTTAGGAACTCTGTATCTGACTGAAGAAGTCTACTGTGTAAGCGAAACGTTTCAACAATAAAGATACCCAACTGTTGTACAAGTGTCTTACTGTTTAACTTGCCGGTATCTTAATCCATTTTCAACAAGAGAAGACGTTTGGCTGGCTTCCTTACATGTGCTGCCCCCTGGTGCCCAGCGGGTACCTGGGTGTTTGAAGAGTGGTAGGGGCGGCATCCTGGGAAGGAGGATAAGCCACCTTTGTTGGAGTTCGTGGTAGACCTGGCTTACTAACCCTACAGGTTATCCTGGGTTACCAACCCAACAGGTTATCCATGCAGGTTATAGTTAATATAAATGGGTGCCGACACCTTGAGCGAAATGGATACGAATGCATTCACTTAGCAAACCTTTACTGAAACGTTTCGGTACTTGGATCTTGATCACATCGAAGTAATCAAGGTCCAAGAACATCTTCAATAAAGGTATCCTTACTAACGTATTCGTGTACATTTCCCTCCGGGTTATCCTGGCCTTCTAACCCACCTAATATAATCCGAATACAACCTAGTTCTTCTAAGTCCTATTTCTGGGGGTACCCACGACAGCGAGCCTGGTGGGGGTGACCACACTGGTGCTGAGTGAGAGTGACCTGCCACCAGTCATCCTGAATGAGCTGAGCGGTGAACTGTACAATGGTTGGCAGCAGTTCCTCGACCTCCACTCCTCAGCACTCCACAAATCTGGTTACAATTTTACCTCCATCGTCGGTAAGTGAGCCTATAGTACAACTCTCTCACTTCTAAAATATAAGAGCATAAGTTTAGAGTTAGAAAGGATATAGGAAAGTATTGGTTTGGAAATAGAGTAGCTGATGAGTAGAACAGAGTGCCTAGTAGGGTTACTGAAGCTAAAACCTTCGGCAGTTTCAAATTTTGGTTAAATAAATACACGAGTGAGGGTTGGATCTGCACATTAGTTATAAGGGTTATCAAAGCTTATTGCTTGGGCAGCATTGAAAATGGGTTGAGCAAATATTTTTTGTTGGTGGGTTGGAATTGACAAGGACCATGGAGCTGAACTCTTCTCCAGGCTGAGGGACTGACCACCTCAAATGCTATTTCACCAAGGTTAAGGGACTGATTACATCATCTTCCTTTCACTACTACACCTGCTGCCTCTGTATTTGACTGAAGAAGCCTGCTGAGTAGGCGAAACGTTTCAACAATAAAGATGCCCAACTGCTGCACATGTCTTAATCATGAAAATGTTTTGTGACTGTAGTCCAGTACGCGGGAAAACAAATTTTCGGTTTTAGATGTAAATATGACACCAAAATTATTAGTAGTATATTCACTGGGAAGAACTAAACCAGTACGGGGTCGTACAGTACCTGGGGAATGGGAGATAATCAGGTTAAATTCGAGAAAAAGGGAGAGTAGGCGCAATTCCTCAGATCAAGAGCCCTACTTGTACTGCCCCCTTGATGCTTGCAAACTGAACCACTGAGATTGGTGACGTGAACCACTGAGGGCAGTGAACTGAACCCATGAGGGTAAAGGATAGCATAGAGTTCAGCTCGTGGTTACAAACCATCTCATGCAAATTTAATGCATTATAATCACTCCCTACCAAAGCAAAAGACTCGGCAGGAGGCGCAACATCCCCCCCCCCCAATGAAAAGCAGAGACAACAAAATAAGTGTCAGGGGCCCAAAACTGTTCAGTTGCCTCCCAGCATACATAAGGAGAATTACCAATAGTTCCATGACTGTCTTCAAGGAGGCGGACAGGCATCGGTTTACGTGCAGCCAGCAGAAACAGCCTGGATGATCAGACTCTGATCCACCACGAGGGCTGGCCACGGGCCGGGCCGCATAAACATTAACCCCCAAAACCCCTCCAGATATACACGTGAAGAGGTTGCCTGGCAGTTGAGTTGTAGATGAGTTTACAAAATTTCCAAGTGATGTCACTGGAATGAGCACTCTAACTCTTAAAATAGTCTAGATACATGAATAGGAAGAGTTGGGAGTGAATATCACCTGTCTAGAATCTGCCAGTAGGCCTACTGAGGTCCTCATCCATTCATACGTCTTTTTTTATACATTTTAGGAACTCTGATGGAATATGACAGGGGGAAAAGCTTCCTTTTGCTCCCATTATGTAATTAACATATAAAATAGTGTAGCAGCACACTGCTGGTGTTCCCACTCTGTAATTAACATATAGAACAGTGTAGCAGCACACTGCTGGTGTTCCCACTCTGTAATTAACATATAGAACAGTGTAGCAGCACACTGCTGGTGTTCCCACTCTGTAATTAACATATAGAACAGTGTAGCAGCACACTGCTGGTGTTCCCACTCTGTAATTAACATATAGAACAGTGTAGCAGCACACTGCTGGTGTTCCCACTCTGTAATTAACATATAGAACAGTGTAGCAGCACACTGCTGGTGTTCCCACTCTGTAATTAACATATAGAACAGTGTAGCAGCACACTGCTGGTGTTCCCACTCTGTAATTAACATGTAGAACAGTGTAGCAGCACACTGCTGGTGTTCCCACTCTGTAATTAACATATAAAACAGTGTAGCAGCACACTGCTGGTGTTCCCACTCTGTAATTAACATGCAGAAATCGCGGGAAGAACTAAAAGCCATAAATGAAATCGAAAGAAACCCAAAGTATTTCTTCTCCTATGCCAAATCAAAGTCGAGAACAACGTCCAGTATTGGGCCCCTACTTAAACAAGATGGGTCCTACACAGATGACAGCAAGGAAATGAGTGAGCTACTCAAGTCCCAATATGACTCAGTTTTTAGCAAGCCGCTAACCAGACTGAGAGTCGAAGATCAAAATGAATTTTTTATGAGAGAGCCACAGAATTTGGTAAACACAAGCCTATCTGATGTTATCCTGACACCAAATGACTTCGAACAGGCGATAAATGACATGCCCATGCACTCTGCCCCAGGGCCAGACTCATGGAACTCTGTGTTCATCAAGAACTGCAAGAAGCCCCTATTACGAGCTTTTACCATCCTATGGAGAGGGAGCATGGACACGGGGGTCGTCCCACAGTTACTAAAAACAACAGACATAGCCCCACTCCACAAAGGGGGCAGTAAAGCAATAGCAAAGAACTACAGACCGATAGCACTAATATCCCATATCATAAAAATCTTCGAAAGGGTCCTAAAAAGCAAGATCACCACCCATCTTGATACCCATCAGTTACACAACCCAGGGCAACATGGGTTTAGAGCAGGTCGCTCCTGTCTGTCCCAACTACTAGATCACTAGGACAAGGTCCTAGATTCACTAGAAGACAAAAAGAATGCAGATGTAACATATACAGATTTGCAAAAGCCTTCGACAAGTGTGACCATGGCGTAATAGCGCACAAAATGCGTGCTAAAGGAATAACAGGAAAAGTTGGTAGATGGATCTATAAATTCCTCACTAACAGAACACAAAGAGTAGTAGTCAACAGAGTAAATTCCAAGGCGGGTACGGTGAAAAGCTCTGTTCCACAAGGCACAGTACTCGCTCCCATCTTGTTTCTCATCCTCATATCTGACAGACAAGGATGTCAGCCACAGCACCGTGTCTTCCTTTGCAGATGACACCCGAATCTGCATGACAGTGTCTTCCATTGCAGACATTGCAAGGCTCCAGGCGGACATCAACCAAATCTTTCAGTGGGCTGCAGAAAACAATATGAAGTTCAACGATGAGAATTTTCAATTACTCCGATATGATTAACACGAGGAAATTAAAACTTCATCAGAGTACAAAACAAATTCCGGCCACAAAATAGAGCGAAAAACCAACGTCAAAGACCTGGGAGTGATCATGTCGGAGGATCTCACCTTCAAGGACCATAACATTGTATCAATCGCAGCTGCTAGAAAAACGACAGGATGGATAATGAGAACCTTCAAAACTAGGGAGGCCAAGCCCATGATGACACTCTTCAGGTCGCTTGTTCTATATAGGCTGGAATATTGCTGCACACTAACAGCACCTTTCAAGGCAGGTGAAATTGCTGACCTAGAATATGTACAGAGAACCTTCACGGCCCGCATAACGGAGATAAAACACCTCAATTACTGGGAGCGCTTGAGGTTCCTAAACCTGTATTCCCTGGAACGCAGGCGGGAGAGATACATGACTATATACACCTGGAAAATCCTAGAGGGACTAGTACCGAACTTGCACACGAAAATCACTCACAACGAAAGCAAAAGACTTGGCAGACGATGCAACATCCCCCCAATGAAAAGCAGGGGTGTCACTAGCACGTTAAGAGACAATACAATAAGTGTCAGGGGCCCGAGACTGCTCAACTGCCTCCCAGCATACATAAGGGGGATTACCAATAGACCCCTGGCAGTCTTCAAGCTGGCACTGGACAAGCACCTAGAGTCTGTACCTGACCAGCCGGGCTGTGGCTCGTACGTTGGATTGCGTGCAGCCAGCAGTAACAGCCTGGTTGATCAGGCTCTGATCCACCAGGAGGCCTGGTCACAGACCGGGCCGCGGGGGCGTTGACCCCCGGAACTCTCTCCAAGTAAACTCCAGGTACAGAATAGTGAAGCAAAACACTGCTGGTGTTCCCACTGTGTAACTATCATACAGAATAGTGTAGCAACACACTGCTGGTGTTCCCACTGTGTAACTATCATACAGAATAGTGTAGCAACACACTGCTGGTGTTACCACTGTGTAACTATCATACAGAATAGTGTAGCAACACACTGCTGGTGTTCCCGCTGTGTAACTATCACACAGAATAGTGTAGCAACACACTGCAGGTGTTCCCACTGTGTAACTATCATACAGAATAGTGTAGCAACACACTGCTGGTGTTCCCACTGTGTAACTATCATACAGAATAGTGTAGCAACACACTGCTGGTGCTCCCACTGTGTAACTATCATACAGAATAGTGTAGCAACACACTGCAGGTGTTCCCACTGTGTAACTATCATACAGAATAGTGTAGCAACACACTGCAGGTGTTCCCACTGTGTAACTATCATACAGAATAGTGTAGCAACACACTGCTGGTGCTCCCACTGTGTAACTATCATACAGAATAGTGTAGCAACACACTGCAGGTGTTCCCACTGTGTAACTATCATACAGAATAGTGTAGCAACATACTGCAGGTGTTCCCACTATGTAACTATCATACAGAATAGTGTAGCAACACACTGCTGGTGTTCCCGCTGTGTAACTATCATACAGAATAGTGTAGCAACACACTGCTGGTGCTCCCACTGTGTAACTATCATACAGAATAGTGTAGCAACACACTGCAGGTGTTCCCACTGTGTAACTATCATACAGAATAGTGTAGCAACACACTGCAGGTGTTCCCGCTGTGTAACTATCATACAGAATAGTGTAGCAACACACTGCTGGTGCTCCCACTGTGTAACTATCATACAGAATAGTGTAGCAACACACTGCAGGTGTTCCCGCTGTGTAACTATCATACAGAATAGTGTAGCAACACACTGCTGGTGCTCCCACTGTGTAACTATCATACAGAATAGTGTAGCAACACACTGCAGGTGTTCCCACTATGTAACTATCATACAGAATAGTGTAGCAACACACTGCAGGTGTTCCCACTATGTAACTATCATACAGAATAGTGTAGCAACACACTGCAGGTGTTCCCACTATGTAACTATCATACAGAATAGTGTAGCAACACAGTGTTATATATCAATTTTATATTCTAAATTAAAAAAAAATCACAGTATCATTGTGTAAATAAACTAGAAATGTATCCTCTCTCATGGAGTGTATCCTCTCTCCTGGAGTGTATCCTCTCTCCTGGAGTGTATCTTCTCTCCTGGAGTGTATCCTCTCTCCTGGAGTGTATCTTCTCTCATGGAGTGTATCCTCTCTCATGGAGTGTATCCTCTCTCCTGGAGTGTATCCTCTCTCCTGGAGTATATCTTCTCTCCTGGAGTGTATCCTCTCTCCTGGAGTGTATCCTCTCTCCTGGAGTGTATCCTCTCTCCTGGAGTGTATCCTCTCTCCTGGAGTGTATCCTCTCTCCTGGAGTGTATCCTCTCTCCTGGAGTGTATCCTCTCTGCTGGAGTGTATCCTCTCTCCTGGAGTGTATCCTCTCTCCTGGAGTGTATCTTCTCTCCTGGAGTGTATCCTCTCTCATGGAGTGTATCCTCTCTCCTGGAATGTATCCTCTCTCCTGGAGTGTATCTTCTCTCCTGGAGTGTATCCTCTCTCATGGAGTGTATCCTCTCTCCTGGAGTGTATCCTCTCTCCTGGAGTGTATCCTCTCTCCCGGAGTACATACACTCACATATACACTCACGTTATTAGTGTAAGTCACAAGTCAGTGACGTCGCGCTGGTTATACCTGGAGTATACCTGGAGAGGGCTTCTGGGGTCGACGCCCCCGCGGCCCGGTCTGAGACCAGGCCTCGTGGTGGATTAGAGTCTGATCAACAAGGCTGTTACTGCTGGCCGCACGCAAACTGACGTACGAACCACAGCCAGGCTGGTTAGGTACTGACTTCAGGTGCCTGTCCAGTGCCTGCTTGAAGACAGCCAGGGGTCTTGAAGACAGCCAGGGGTCTATTGGTCTATTGGTAACGTAAGAATGGTTTGTGGAATCCTGAAATCTGATCGAAGAATCCATAAAACAGATAAGATACGTTTGATACAGCTGGTTATATTTTTGTTATGAAGACACTTGGCCAACCAGTGAATGTTTCAAGTCAACACAGAGGTTATAAACTGATGACAGTAGAGGGTGGGGTAATCAGTCCCCCAGCCTTGACAGACGGTGTTCAAACTACAGACAGTAGACGGTAAGGTAATCAGTCCCTCTTAGTCTATGCTGTATACCATTATATTGCTGTATACCATTATATTGACAACATAGGTAATACTTTATCTCGAGTATACAGCTCCAGCATGCAACCCTTATCTAGGATAATATGAAAAAAATAATTCGATAGAAATTCGATATCAGGACCGGAAATGAAAAAAAAAGATATATGAAAACGAAGACTGAACGAACGTAACCTTACGATTCTAAAGAGAATTTGTGGCCTGGTAACACTCGCCTCACAGCGTCTGTGGTTCGATCCCCGGGATGGATGAAAAAACTGGGCGTGTTTCCTTACACCTACTGTCCTCGTTCACCTAGCAAGCAAGTAGGTACCTGGGTGTTAGTCGACTGGTGTGGGTCGCACCCTGAGAGCCAAGATTTAAGGATCAGTGTAAATAAGACAGACAGTCCCTCAATGACGCACTAACTTTCTTGGGTTATCCTGGGTAACTAACCCTCCGGGGTTAAAAATCCGAACAAAAATCTTAAAATCTTAAAATACTCTGTGGCAGAGATAAGGAAAAGAATATCGTAATGGGAGAAATTAGTCACAGATTGAAGCCGAACGCTGAGTACTTTTGGACAGTCTTTAGAGCAAGGCCCAAGAACTGGTATTCAACTAGGGTAGAGTAGGATGGGTAAAAAGAGATGTGGTCCACGTACAGCTGGTGGAGGTCGACAGAGAGATGCGCACCAGTTACACCACCTGATCAATAGATGGTACCAACCCACCCGCCTGCTGGCCTGCCTGCCTGCCTTCCTTTCCACCCACCTGCTTGCTAGCCTGCTTTCCTACCCACTTGCTTGCCTGCCTGCCTTCCTTTCCACCCACCTGCTTGCTTGCCTGCCTGGCTGCCTGCCTCCCTGCCTTCTTCAATACCTTCCTAACCTCCAATCTGCCTGCCTTCCTATCCACCCACCCGCCTGCTTGGCTGCCTTCCTATCCACCCACCCGCCTGCTTGCACGCCTACCAACTATTCTATCCACCTGTTAGCCCGGCATTCCTTACCTACAATCCATGACAATCATACACACTGGTTATGTCCACTGCTGCTCGAGTGGCTCTACTGAATACAATTTCCAATCTGTATTGCTCCTTCATTACACTGTACATAGTATATATATATATTGGTGAAGGAATACACGGCTAAAGAAATCTCGTGTTTTATTGTCTTGCCCACGCTTGCCCTGCTGCACTTTCCTGGCTGCTGACTTGTTTACGTCTGGGTTAACAGGCCATCACATTACCACTTGTGTTTGTAATACATAGCTACTGACTTCCATAACTACCCACCAGCAGTGGCGGACCTACATTTTTGAGGCCCTGAAGCTTGAACTGTTATGGGGTCCCTGAAGCTTGAACTGTTATGGGGTCCCTGAAGCTTGAACTGTTATGGGGTACCTGATGTTTGAACTGTTATGGGGTCCCTGAAGCTTGAACTGTTATGGTGTCCCTGAAGCTTGAACTGTTATGGTGTCCCTGAAGCTTGAACTGTCATGATGTCCCTGAAGCTTGAACTGCTATGGTGTCCTTGAAGCTTGAACTGCTATGGTGTCCTTGAAGCTTGAACTGTTATGGTGTCCCTGAAGCTTGAATATTAAAATGGTATACAATACCGACAGGTTGGTAGACAAGACACATAGGCAACAGTTAGGCAACTTTATTCCGAAATGTTTCGCCTACACAGTAGGCTTCTTCAGTCGAGTACAGAAAAGTTGATAGAAGAGACGTGAAGACGATGTAATCAGTCCATCACCCTTGAAATAGATTTGAGGTTATCAGTCCCTCAGCCTGGAGAAGTTCAGCTATGGAGCTGAGCTTCTCCAGGCTGAGGGACTGACAACCTCAAATCCTTCAAGGGTGATGGACTGATTACATCGTCTTCTGTTCCTGCCTACTTTCTGTACTAGACTGAAGAAGCCTACTGTGTAGACGAAACGTTTCGGAATAAAGTTGCCTAACTGTTGCCTATGTGTCTTACCTACCAACCTGAAGCTTGAACTGTTACGGGTCACCATGGCAACAATAATGGCTAGGTCTACATGATACTTTAATAACCTTTTAATTTTTATTCTATTATTTTGCAGTAAATTACATTATATTATTAATATTATTGAAAAAAAATTCTCATACAGTAGACTCAAAATTTTCAAGCAATGTGGGCTAAAATGGCTTCTGGGGCCCCTCCGGGATTAGGGACCGTGAAGCTTAAGCTTCATTAGTTTCAAAGTAGGTCCGTCCCTGGCCACCACTCACTCTGATCTCGTCTTCCACAGGTGCCATCGAGAAGGAATTAATTACCCTCAACAACATGCTGACAGAACTGGACAGATGGTACCACACTCGTCCCTATTACATGCATCCCTACCCTCAACCCTTCCCAGGACCTGCCCACTTCAGGTAGGTGCTTGCAGGTCTCCTGGACTTGTTCGTTACAAGGACCTATAGCTCTTACCTGGCTCTTCCCCAGTACTGGTAGGGTTTAATACGTGGAAGGAAATTCCAGCTGTTTCCGTAGCTCAAAACTCCTTGAACATCATTAACTTTCAGTAAGCCTAGAGAGTAACATTGGTTTCTTGTACAGGCAGGTGGAGCAGAGGTTGAGATGGCTGACTAACCTGGAACGAGGTCTGTTAGGTCCCCGTGGCGTAGGTCGTACCTTCACTACTCACCTAATGATAGGAGCTGATCCCGAGGACCCTTATCGCGCCATCCACTACCCACACGCCGTGCAAGCCATCACACACGCCCTCCTGCAGGAGACGCCCTGGGAGAGCGTGCACCAGGAACTCTCCTATATCCTGGCGGCTCTCACCTCCTACAGGCAGCTCTTCCCAACCAACCTGCCTGCAGAATCGCAGGATGAAGCTACGGGATCCACAGAACCACAGGTGTAATAAGAATCGCTTAGCTTAACATTTCTCATGAAGTAATTCATCGTTCTGGGTCTTGATTGTAGCACCAATGGAGAAGTTCTTAACTTACAGGGAGTCATACAGCACTTTGTAATAGAAGGAAATCTGGTTTAATGGAAGAGAGTAGCCTAAATTCTTTTGGATCAAAAGTCCTTCAGCGATATCAAGGTGTCCCTCATAAAGGACATTCTTTTAGTTGATCACTGGGATAAGGTTTAAATAGTATGTCAAGAAGAATGTGTGGGATCAGAGCGCTTCAAGAAAGGTCGAGTTTTCGTATAGATACGTGAAGACAATTCATAAACGACACCTTCAGTTGATAATATACAAAACGTATGAAAAAGGTGATGGGAAATGTAATGTGGTGTTCGGTAGCCTTATGAAAACAAATGGCGTTTATGATTTGCTATAAATCCAGTATCTGGAACCATCTTAAAAAGAATCTGTTTATGTGGCAGTCGTTTGCTGACGAATAAACCACGACGACTACCGCCATTTTACTATGAGGTGTCGTTTGTGTTTGAAATATTATGGGAAACCCAGCTGGGAAACCCTCGTGTAGTCGACAGGTTATTTAAACCCCATTAACTAAGTAATCTAGCTAGTGTAGACCGGACGATGCTTAACCTCTGAACGGGTCATCCGACGCTAACCTACGTCAGGAGATTCAGTGACACTAATACTGTACCAGGGTCGTAGCAACATTATTAGGATCTGGATAATTAGGTTATAAAAAGAGGCACAAACCAGAGTCAGTCAAGTCGGTAAGTCAGAAGGTTGCACTAGATGTTTGCTAGTTATCAACAGCTAATATGTTAGTTGAACTAGATGTCAAGTATACTAGACGTCAATGGAGTTTCTGAGTGCCAGTGACGTAATAGGTAGAGGCAGGCACAGTGCCAGGTCTGTATGTCTAGATTATAAAAGATAACACCTATGTATGTTAATTAGAAGTACCTGTTGCAAACATAACGGTGTTAATTAGCGTGGCACTTGAAGCACTGTAAGCAGAGGAAAGAAGAAAGTACCAGGAGACACTTGTCCTCTTTGTTTCCTCAGGAACAAAACACCATCGTCATTTAAGAAACAAACCGTATTTGAGATGTAAGTCACTGTATGTCCCGCAAGTGACCAGAGACTTACCATACTCTTCCCCCCTGTTAAGGCTGAGGGACTAAAACCCACAAAATTACTTCTACTCTCTCCAGTGTTATATTAGACTGTATTCGACCGAAGAAGCCTGCTATGTAGGCGCAAGACTTAGGTAATAAAGAAACACGAATGTTGCATGTGTGTCTTATTCATGAACTTGTCGGTAATGTGTAAATTATTAATATGAGAGGCCCCAGCAGAGGTGGTGCTGACGTCATCACCAGAGTAACAACTATATGATTACAAGGACACACGCTGTCTAACAAGCTTTTATTATAACAACACTGTGCTCTCTGTACAGTTTTATGACCTGATAAAGCTGGACAAAGAGCGAAACGCTGTCGCAATAAAAGCTGGTTCTGGAACCAGTGTCTTGTCCTACACTTGGCAATACACGCAGCTACTCGGTGTCTAGGAAGCAAATGTTACTTGTCAACACTCAAGTGTTATTCTATTTTTACCAAGAAATGCAATTAAACTTTTGTCATGTAAAAATTGTAATATATATTTAATATAAATATATATTAATATATATATATATATATATATATATATATATATATATATATATATATATATAATATATAATATATATATATATATAATATATATATATGAGAGTTGCCGCTCTGCCTGAGAAAATCGTGGAAGCTATAGCTGCACAGGTCGAATTTTCTTGCTATTTGCTGACGGAGGTTCGAGCCTGCACCATTCTTTGCGCTAAATTACCTGGACTGGTTTAGCAACGCTTATGATTAAAAAATAGCTTCTCCAATTTAAAACAAACTTTTGCTAAGAAAATGTTGCTGCATTTACTACCTCGACTATTATTTTTAGTAGTCTTACCGAGGGATCTGAACACTCGTGGATAAATACAACATCATACACTGTCTCCTGACCATGTCATCTTCATGTAGTTTAAGGTGAGCTGTCTCCCAATTTACGAGGTGTCCGCTGTTGTTCTAATCACACACGCACTGTTTGTGTCGTGCGTGTTACACGCGTACGCAGGCGAATGCATATTCTTGCCTCGAGAGCAACGGCTCTCTCTCCTATGTAGAATTTACCGCATCTGTCACATGGAATGGCGTAGTCTCCAGCCGTGTTGCTAGAGCTATGGCGGATACAGTCTAGTAATATTGTATCCCCACACCGTCAAGGGTATCACTAGTACCTACATCCGTAACACATAGCAACACGGCTGAAGTTTACACCATTCCCTCTGCTGGATGCAGTAAATTCTTTGTAGGGAAACAAGTGTGTGATCTGAAGACACATCGGCTGTCTCCCACCTAGGCAGGGTGACCCAAAGAAGGAAACACTCGTGATCATTCATTCAACTATCTTGCCAGAAGTGTGATGACACCACAATTCAGGGGACCCTCCGACTGCAGCAACCCAGAAACAACGTGTGTGTGAAACAGACAAAAGCACACCCTATAATAATAATAATAATAATAATAATAATAATAATAATAATAATAATAATAATAATTTCTACAAGGTATACAGTCCTAGCTGACATCAATGACATACTACTATATAGAAAGCACTTTGTTATGCAGAGCATTTCTGGCAAATTAGATCAAATTTGTCCCCAGGATGCGACCCACATGGGTCGATTAACAGCCAGGTACCTATTTTACTGACAGGTGAACAGGGACAACAGGTGTCTTAAGGAAACACGTCCAAATTTTTCCACCCGTACCGGGGATCGACCCCCGGACGTCATTGCGTGAGCCAAGTGTGCTACCAATCGAGTTACAGAATACCTTATGGTATAGGACACAGTTCAGCTTATGTTACACGAACATGATAGAGGAGAAAGTGTACAGAGGTCACCTTCATCCAGACCTACGATACTACAGAACTAAATTTTACACTCGCTGACACTCTCGCCCAAATTCTCCCACGTCACCAACCAGCAGCTGACCTCACCCACAACAACAACAAAAGTTACATGACTCAGGTTCTCACCTCAGTCTTCATCTGGCCGGCAGGCTGTACATGTAGTAGTCTCGCCAGTGGCTTCTTTAGTCCTCAAGCTACTCATAGCGAAACGTTTCTAATAACTGTCCTGAACTATATATAAGTATCTTTTTCCACATCTTGTCTGTATCACCATAACATTTTTTTTTTCAAGCAGTTTACATACTTTCTGTACAACTTAAAAAAAAAAACTCCCCTTGAGAGAAACGTCGTTGTAATGCATGATTATGTTATTTTCTATCATTTTCTTGAGCGAGTGATGCAGCTCTGCAACTGATGCTGCATTAGATATGTTCTGGGAAGTGCATGGTAACCTGCAAGGCAGTGACCATTATCCAATTCAGCCTCGTTCAGCAGGAAGCCCGCATGAATGCTAGGTCCCTCGGTGTCGCCTGAATCATGGCTGATTAACCTCACTTCGAGCCTCGGCCACACAGCTCTTCCCTAGCTGCTGATTTCAGTTTCCATGGCAGGACAATAGTATTCCCCCTAGAAGTATTCCCTGCAAGTATTCCCTATACTAGGTGAGGCGAAGAACTGCAGCTTCAGCGTGTGGCGGTAATTCTGCCCATGATGACATTAAACTTACGTTATGTCACGAATATCATGACATAAAACCTACTCTCTACCATGATATTAAAACCACCTTCCCTTAGCATTCCCTTAAACCTACCTTCTAGCATGACATTAAAACTACCTTCTCCATTCTTATAACAATCCTATAACAGGAATAATTACGCAAACTATAAATCATAACTCAGCGCTAAACCCACAAAGGTCATACAGATAATTACGTAAAACTACCGCAGAGGAGCCGCTTTTACCCAGAAAGTCGACAAAGTAAAACTGTGACGCCCGCCGAAGCACATATAAAAAGTTTAGTTTAAATCAGGTTTAATGCTGTGAATGGCAGGTTTTGCCCGCTTCCTGTGGGCGCCCACGACTTCGGGTAGGGGGCGGCAAGATAAGATTTCTCGAAATTTTTAACTCCGGAGGGTTAGCCACCCCAGGATACTACCCACACCAGTCGACTAACACCCAGGTACCTACTTTCTGCTAGGTGAACAGGGGGAGCAGGTGTAAGGAAATATAATAACCAACGTTTCCACCCATGCCGGGGATTGAACCACGAATACTCAGTGTGTGAGGCGAGAGCGTTGCCAACCAAGCCACAGGACACTATTAAATTATCCTCTGTCAAGAAAAAAGGATTGTCACTTACCACAATAACTTAGCTTCCAGTTATGGTGTTATGAGTTCCATTCTTAGTGAGCTTTCATATTATTGGACGAACGCTGGGCACAGACGAATAACTCGCACTTAGGAGACCGAAACTTACTTTCGGTCCGACCCTGACCATTAACAAGTTACTCTAGTTTAGCCTATGATGACTGAGTTAGGTCCTATGACTGAGTCACTGTGTCAGGCACTGCTGCTGAGTCACTGTGTCAAGCACTGCTGCTGAGTCACTGTGTCAAGCACTGCTGCTGAGTCACTGTGACAGGTACTGCTGCTGAGTCACTGTGTCAGGCACTGCTGCTGAGTCACTGTGTCAGGCACTGCTGCTGAGTCACTGTGTCAGGCACTGCTGCTGAGTCACTGTGTTAGGCCCTCCTGCTGAGTCACTGTGTTAGGCACTCCTGCCGAGTCACTGTGTCAGGCACTGCTGCTGAGTCACTGTGTTAGGCACTGCTGCTGAGTCACTGTATCAGGCACTGCTGCTGAGTCACTGTGTCAGGCACTGCTGCTGAGTCACTGTGTTAGGCACTGCTGCTGAGTCACTGTGTTAGGCACTGCTGCTGAGTCACTGTCAGGCACTGCTGCTGAGTCACTGTGTCAGGCACTGCTGCTGAGTCACTGTGTTAGGCACTGCTGCTGAGTCACTGTGTTAGGCACTGCTGCTGAGTCACTGTGTCAGGCACTGCTGCTGAGTCACTGTGTCAGGCACTGCTGCTGAGTCACTGTGTCAGGCACTGCTGCTGAGTCACTATGTCAGGCACTGCTGCTGAGTCACTGTGTCAGGCACTGCTGCTGAGTCACTGTGTCAGGCACTGCTGCTGAGTCACTGTATCAGGCACTGCTGCTGAGTCACTGTATCAGGCACTGCTGCTGAGTCACTGTGTCAGGCACTGCTGCTGAGTCACTGTGTTAGGCACTGCTGCTGAGTCACTGTGTTAGGCACTGCTGCTGAGTCACTGTCAGGCACTGCTGCTGAGTCACTGTGTCAGGCACTGCTGCTGAGTCACTGTGTTAGGCACTGCTGCTGAGTCACTGTGTTAGGCACTGCTGCTGAGTCACTGTGTCAGGCACTGCTGCTGAGTCACTGTGTCAGGCACTGCTGCTGAGTCACTGTGTCAGGCACTGCTGCTGAGTCACTGTGTCAGGCACTGCTGCTGAGTCACTGTGTCAGGCACTGCTGCTGAGTCACTGTGTCAGGCACTGCTACTGAGTCACTGTGTCAGGCACTGCTGCTGAATCACTGTGTTAGGCACTGCTGCTGAGTCACTGTGTCAGGCACTGCTGCTGAGTCACTGTGTTAGGCACTGCTGCTGAGTCACTGTGTCAAGCACTGCAGCAGAGTCACTGTGTCAAGCACTGCTGCTGAGTCACTGTGTTAGGCACTGCTGCTGAGTCACTGTGTCAAGCACTGCTGCTGAGTCAGTGTCAGGCACTGCTGCTGAGTCACTGTGTCAGGCACTGCTACTGAGTCACTGTGTCAGGCACTGCTGCTGAGTCACTGTGTTAGGCACTGCTGCTGAGTCACTGTGTCAGGCAATGCTACTGAGTCACTGTGTCAGGCACTGCTGCTGAGTCACGGTAGCACTGTGTTCAGTCACATGCTACTGAGTCACTGTGTCAGGCACTGCTGCTGAGTCAGTGTCAGGCACTGCTGCTGAGTCACTGTGTCAGGCACTGCTACTGAGTCACTGTGTCAGGCACTGCTGCTGAGTCACTGTGTTAGGCACTGCTGCTGAGTCACTGTGTCAGGCAATGCTACTGAGTCACTGTGTCAGGCACTGCTGCTGAGTCACTGTGTCAGGCACTGCTGCTGACCCACTGTGTTAGGCACTGCTGTTGAGTCACTGTGTCAGGCACTGCTGCTGAGTCACTGTCAGGCACTGCTACTGAGTCACTGTGTCAGGCAC